TTATTGATTATTTTTTTTGTTTTTGGTGTTTTTTAAGTTCTTTGTATATCTTAGATAATAATGCCCTATCTGAGGAGCAGGTGGCAAAGATTTTCTCGCTTTCTTTTGACTTTCTCTTGATGCTCTTAGTTGTTTCCTTTGTGTGAAGAAGGTTTTTAATTTGATGCCATCCCACAATTGATATTTTATGTCTTGTACCTTAGGAGTCCTTTTTAAGGAAATCAGTTCCTAAGCTGACATGTTGGAGTGTTGGGCCTACCTACATTTTCTTCTAGGAGGTACAAGGTTTCTGGTCTAATTTCTAGATCTTTGATCCAACTTCAGTTGATTTTTGTGGAGGGTGAGAGATGGGGGTAAAATTTTATTATACTACATATAGATTTCCAGTTATCCCAGCATCATTTGTTTAAAAGGCCATCTTTTCTCTAATGTATATTTTTGACACCTTTGTCTTGCATCATATAACTGGATTTATGTGGTTTTGTCCCTGTGAAATGACCTGATTCTGAATCACCATCTTTCCACAGTTGCCTCCTTTATAAAACATAGATGAGAATGAGATGGAATGGAAGCCATCTAATACAGATGATCTCTGAATTATGATGGTTCAACTTAACAGTTTACCCATGGTGTAAAAATGATACACATTTAGTTGAATCTGTACTTTGAATTTTTTAATATTTATTTTTTAGTTGTAGTTGGACACAATACCTTTATTTCACTTATTTATTTTTGTGCAGTACTGAGGATTGAACCCAAGTTCTCGCACGTACAAGGTGCGTGCTCTCCTGCTGAGCCACAGCCCCAGCCGCTAGACTTTGAATTTTATCTTTTGCTCAGCTAGCAATATTCTATATGATACTCTCAAGTTTCAGAGTGGGGTCAGCAAACTACAACTCCCAGTTATTCATGCAATCATGCAAGTAGACATTTGATTTTCTGTACATACTGATTTCCTAACTATACTGTGTTACTGAGCTGTGGTTGTCAGTAGGTTAGGTATATTAAATGTATTTTCAACTTTTTTAAAGTATTTTTTAGTTGTAGGTGGACGCAATATCTTTATTTTATTTATTTATATGTGGTGCTAAGTCGAACCCAGTAACTCACATGTGCTAGGCAAGCACTCTACCACTGAGCCACTACCCCAGCCCTATTTTCAACTTTTAATGGGTTTGTTAGGACATGACCCCATCATAAATTGCAGCTCATTTGTATTTAAAGGTTAGATGATTTCAATTTTTTTTTTTTTTTTGGTAACAGGGATGGAACCCAGGGGTGCTTATCCACTGAGCCACATCCTCAGTCCTTTTTCATTTTTAGACAGGATCTCACTAAGTTGTTTAGGACCTCCCTAAGCTGCTGAAGCTGGTCTTGAACTTGAAATCCTCCTTTCTCAGCCTCCCAAACTGCTGGGATTGTAGGTGTGTACACCATGCCTGACTAGATGATTCCAATTCTTAACAAAGATTTACTTACTTCCTCATCAACTATAATGTAAATTGGTATGTCTAATTTAGCTTGAGTTTTGTGAGGTCTAGATATTCTCACTATTTAGCAGTGCATATGCTTTTTATTAGTAACAGATTAAATTATCTATAGGTTATGTAGAAAATACATTCCAAAATAAAATTTTATTAATACAATAATTTTAAAATATATATAAAAATTAGAGAAAGGCATACATTTACCTACCACAGTGTTTTTTAAGTAAAATAAATTTAATTTACTAAGAATATATTTCCTAGATTTTTTGACAAGAACATTTCATTTGTTAAAGTATGATTTATTATTCTAAAAAACATTAAAAAATAAAGCAAATCTTGACTTTATCTAGTTAGACTACAAAATTATGAAAACAGCAGCTGGCGTAGAGACCCAGTTTAGTTCTAATAGCCCTGGAGTAAAATGTGTTATGGAATAATTTTGTATGTTATAGAGAATTAGTGAATGAGTTTTTATATGTGTATATATAGGAAGAGAAGTAAAGAAAAAAAATAAGTAACATTCTCTATATTGTGATCTATCCCTAGAAAGTGTAAAGTCCAGTGTCCTTCTGGTCAATGAAGTGTAATCACTTCTTCATCAACTATAATATAAATGTTTAATTTAGCTTGAGTTTTGTGATGACTAGATGTTTTCACTGGTTAGCAGTGCATTAAATACTTTAGGAACTCATAAACAGGATTCAAATAAGATATTTTTGGACATCTTAGAATATAAAGATAGTCTCATTTTTATAGCTTTGATTCAAAAAACCAATAAGGCGAAGAGTTTTTAATTCCATGCATCAGTTGTGAAAATACTAATTTTTGTAAATCATCCAAACACTATATTTATCACAAATAGAAGCAGGCACTTAATATCCATCTTTTTTTTTGGGGGGGGGGGGGTACTAGAGATTTAATCCCATGGCACTTTACCCCTGAATTATATCCCCTGCCCCCTTTTTTTCTTAAATTTTGACACAGGGTCTCACTAAGTTGCTTAGGGTCTCACTAAGTTTTGAGGCTGGCCTTGAATTTAGAATCCTCCTGCCTCAGCCTGTCCTGAGCAGCTGGGACTACAAGTATGTAACACCACACCCTTAATATCTATCTTGAAAGTACAAATTATATTTATACTAGTATGGGATACTCTAGCATTGGAAGTATGTCATGTAGTTCTTCATTGCTCTGATTAAAATATGCATTCTGTCTCTTCTGCACTCTTCAACCTTTATTTTAAAAATATGTCTCTGAAATATAAGGGATATTAAAAGGGTGACTGGATTTTTTACATGATTTCAGCATTCTTGGTAATTTGGGATTTTTTTACACTTTAAAAAATATTATATAGACAGTTAAGAGCATCTATATTTAAAAATAAAAACTAGGTAAAATATATACATATGCTGGATTATTTATTTTAAAAAAAATTAACTACAAAAATTTTCCCTTCATTCTTAGTAAAAAGAATATCTACTTCAGAATCCTATTCTGTACAATATTTAATTTTTAAAAAGAATGTAACAAAATTATTACATTAACATACCTAGCCTTAATTATATTGATGGCACCAACAGTTTTGTCTTTTCAACTTCTTGAAGATTTATGTATCTCATAACTCTCCTAAGAGTTTACTTCTTTTGAGTCCAATAAATTAATGTCTAACCTCTAAATTATAACTTACTTGATTTTAATCAAACTACTTACAAAGTAAATGTATTACATGAGTTCTGTAATGCCTATTCATAGTAATATGTGTTCACCACAATAGTGGGGAACTGCAGTTGGTAGCTTCATTACAACTCTTGCTCAGCAGTCAACTGCAGTTGTGATTTTGGTGCTGTGGATTCTTCAAAGGTCAGACATGAAGCATCAATCCTAGAACCACACCAGTAGACAAAAATGCTCGTATATACATCTAGTCATTATTTCAGATCTATGCTGTTCATTAAGGCTAGTACATATACATTATTTCCCTATTATTTTGGTCTTTGGGCATCTGCATAGTTTCCACATTTAACAATTTTGAATTTCCTTTCCTTTATCTTAGACAATTAACTAATGTTTTGAAGTTGAATACAAAGAATAATTAAAAGACATTAAAAGTACCTATATATCTATATATCTTCTATTTCCAACTTAAAACAAGAAAATAAGCCAAAAAAAATTGGAAAGCCAAGTTTAGATTAATGATTTTAGGGAAAATATCTTAAAATACAAATGTTTCTGTCATGTAAATATCTCATGATTTCCTGTGGTTGTACATATCAGTGTGTATGAATGTGTGTGTGTGTGTGTGTGTGTGTGTGTGTGTGTTTAAGTCAGATGTCTCTGAAAAGTAGTGCTCTTCATTTTGCTTAATGTAGTCCTCAATAGTATATGTAACATTATATAGTTCGAATAAATCTTTTAAAGTAACAGTCAAATCTTAATATTTAATGTCATATGAACACATTTTATATGGACAGTGAAAAACCACCTTAATTTGCTTTTACAGGAAATCACTAACATCAAATTTAATCTTTTCTGTTCCAAAGAATCATCTTAGTTCAATAAACTGTCTTGACAAAATATGCCTGAAATCTTGGAGGACCGTTTTCTGAGCAATACTCAAAGTTTGGTGTCCTAGGACATTGTGTCATAGCAAATGTTGTCCTCAGTGCCTGCCTCATATAAGAACAAATTAGCAACTAAAAATATTTACATCTTGGCTCAGAACATGGAACACACATTCCTCATTCATCATCCAAATGACTGAGTGATCCAAAAAACATTTCCTCATTAAAGTATCATTATAAATCTTGAAAGATAAGTTTTAAACCACTATACTTTCAAAAATAGTTAAGTAAAACAATAAAAATTAAAACCTAGAAAGTTAATTTCTCTAGGGTAATATGGAAGTCCTTATAAGCCCTTAATTTTGAAAGAATTTTAAATACTAAATACAGTCATAAGAGAAGAATGATCCTCCTCAGTGGATATTATTCACATCACTAAGTGCTTTGCATATAACAAACATATACACTCCTGGAGAAGCACAGTATATCAGTCAGCAGCAGGAACCTTTAGAATCAGACTGCTAGGTTTGAGTTCCAGCCCCTACTGCTTACTTGGGCTAAATTACTTCGCCTCCCTGGGCAATGGTTTCCTCTTAATGTGTATTAAATTAGTTACTATATATATAGCATTTAGAACTATATGTACTCTATAGTATACATTCAATATCAGATATTAATATATTTTTCAGGGTTTTTTCTTGGGGTTGAAAACCTATATTGGAGGAAGCTTCTATATCAAAGGTTTCTAGTTGGCTGTTTATTAATCTTATTGTGTATATGTAGTATATGCTATGGTTTGTACTTATATTTGTATAATCTGTATTATACAGATGTGTATAAACTGCATGGGCTGGTGATGTAACTCAGTGGTACAGTATTTGCATAGAATGCTCGAGGGCCTGAGTTCAATCCCTAGTACCATGCGCACACAAAAAAATAATAGTGTTGCCTAAATTGCATAATCCATATGATGTACATGTATATATAAACATGTGTATATGCAAGTGAGTAGTATGAAAAACAAAAATATGTTTGAGGCAAAATATATAACAGTGAAAAAATTACAGTAAACTGAAAAACCTTATTCTTAGATCCAGTCTTTCATGATGATAAAAGAACAACATTTATTCTTTCAATAGATCTCCACCTTTAGCTGATTTATAATTGGAGCTTGGGCTATTTCCTTTGCTCTTCTGTTGGCTTAGTATTTCCTTCAACATGTATTTATTGAACACATTCATGAAATAATCCTGTTAGGAAATATAGTCTTCCTTAAAACCTGGTTCAGTATCAGTTCATGAATTTGAAGCTTTCTTACTTTCTGGCCCAAAGTTTCAGAATGTCAGTTTTATGAGGTAGTCAATCATCAATTTGCCAGGAAAATGAAGGTCAAAGGCTTTATTTCCTTAAGCATAAGTCATCTTCCCAAGGTAGTTAGCTGGCACATATCCTTTCTGTCCTTGAGTTTCAGCTAACCACCACTCTTTATTCCCACTTAGATCACAAAATCTAAGTATATGGACTCTTTGGTACTCCTGAAGGCTGAGTTCATGGTCACTCCGTGCTTGAAAAGCATGAACTGCATAGAAAATCTAGACAACAAAGCAAATGACATTATTAGAACAAAACCCAAAAATTTAGAGAAAAATAATAAAGATTTTTAAGATTTTTAGAAGCAATGTCAAAGTTTTCTTATTTTTTTAAAGTCATTGCCCAGATTTTTCTGTTGGGCTTATTTTGCTAAAATATGACCTCAATTAAGAATGGGGTGAAATAGCATTCTTACTCTGTTAGAATAAGTTTAAATTGTCCATACTTGAAGGCAATTGGGCAGTTTCTATTAAAATAATTTAATGTTAATTCCTTTTGAATCAATAATATCTCTAAGAATCTCTTCAACCAAAACAAACTCTAGCAAATAGTCTTTCACAGTAATATTACTCTAATACTTATATGGAAGGTAAAAAGAGGGATGTGGGAATGTTCTAAATGTGCAAGAAGAGAAAAGTTCAATTCTAGACTGTCATACTGAGAAAATTTGTAGTCATAAAAATGTTATGACACTAACAACAGAAAATGCTTATAATGAAATAGTAAAAGAAAAAAGTATAAAATTAGGGTAAACAATATATGCCTAAAATTGCTAATTTCTTTGAATGGTGGGATGATAGGTAAATCTCATTGTTACTTCTTTGTTTCTTTGTTTATTTTCCAGAACTTTATAATGACATTATATGAAATTTACAAGTTTAAAATTACTTTAAGTGACTTAGAAGAACTAACAAACCATATTGTCTCTTTTCTCAAAAGAACTCTGCATAATTAGATAGGAAGCTCTAAAATAGAGCTTCCAGTAAATTATAACTGATAAAAAAATTAGCTATATATAAAATAAATCAATTGGCTAATAATGCTTATAAACTAATTTATTTAATCAAACATTATGAAGTGCCCACCAAGTGCCAGATGTTATTTTATCAGAGACCCTATTAGAGCTGAGCTAGAAAAATAATGTCAACAAGGCAAAACAAAACAAACAAACCCACAGCACTTCCACCAACAATCAAACCACATATAGGTGATATATTAGCTAATTGTGAACTGGATTTCAGAAGAAATAACTACCTAAATGACAAAGTTGTAAAGGCAGAAAATATGTCATGCAGAGATAAATATATGAAAACAAAAGGCAATCAGATTAACTTTCAAAATTTAGTGCTAATTGATAATGGGAACTATGAGCAATAAGGAGACTTTATTGATCAAGGAAAAGAGGCTGGGCAGTGTGATATGCAGGGACTATGTTGTAATTTAAGTTCTATTGTTATTTAACTTCTGATTAAATTCTGATTCTATTGCTTGCTTTATTGTCTTAGCAACTAGCATAAGCTGCTCCTCAAGTAGAGGAACCATATTGCTATTGTCTGAATATTTTCTTCCTCCTAAAATTTGTGTGTTGAAATGCTAACCCTTGAATTGATGATATTGAGATGGAGCCTTTGGGAGGTGATTAGTCATGAGGACAGAGCCTCCAGGCATAGGATTAATTCCTTTAAAAAAAAAAAGGTCCAGGAGAGACCATTTATCCCTTCCACCAGGTGAGAACCTCACAAGAAAGTGCCGTCTATGTACCAGGAAGTTGGTTCCCACCAGACCATAAAAAATGCCAGTGCCTTGATCTCCGACTTCCAGCCTCCACAATTGTGAGAAATTCCCCTTATTTGTAAGCCACCCAACTTATGGTAGTTTTGTTATAGCTGCCTAAATGGACTAAAGGTCAAAATTAAACTTGACTTCACTCACATCTTGGTACACAGAAGGAATTCAAATATTTGTTGATTTGACTGTAGTTAGGCTGAAAGTCTTGGCTATCATACAGGAGATTGTCTTGTATCTTACAAGATAAATACAGAAAATATTGTTGGACATGCATTATTATATAATAAAAAGAAAGAAAGGGCTGGGGATGTGGCTCAAGCGGTAGCGCGCTCGCCTGGCATGCGTGCGGCCTGGGTTCGATCCTCAGCACCACATACCAACAAAGATGTTGTGTCCACCGAAAAATGAAAAATAAATATTAAAATTCCCTCTATCCTCTCTCTCTCTCTCTCTCTCTCTCTCTCTCTCTCTCTCTCTCTCTCTCTAAAAAAGTGTGTTCCTTCCTTTCTCTCTAAAAAAAAAATAATAAAAAATAAAATTAAAATATCTACATATCTACATCAACTTTTCAAAACCCTGATGCAAACACAAGTCATTTTTAAAAAAAAAGAAAGAAAAAGGGAACACTATAAATTAATCAGCATTGAGGTGGTAGAAATTATAATAAAGACCTTTTATAGAGCTTATGATAGTTTACATATCACTTGGGCTTTATCCTCAACGATTCTGAATTGAGACTTGGAGAAGAAACATACTTTTAATCATTGAGCTAATGAGTGCTACTAGGTCCCATGTCTTCTAACTCCAAATCCTACTCTTGGTCCATGTTTCATAATGCTTAAACATACTCTTGTTCTAGCAAACATCTTCAGAGTGTATTCTTGTGGAAAGGAACTGGAGTCCCTAATAAGTTCATGATTGTTTTGTTGTTTGGAAAGTGAAAACACTAAACAGATCCACAAAAGCCAAATGAAAGATTTGGTTTGCAAAAGCATTTAGGAATGTGATGTGAAGGAATACAGCCCCTGAAATAATGTTCAAGAGCCTACATTCATAGTTGCTAACCATCAATTAGAATTTTTGAAATAATATGTATCCTTCACCAATGAGGCAATAGATTTTTCAGCAGGATGGATTATCTACTAAAATACCATTCCTAAATATTTGTAGTAGTCTTTCATTTGGGCACAAATTCTCTCAAGGGGAATATAAAATCTTCTACCTAGATATTTAGTATGAAATTATAGTTTATATTTTAAACATTAAATATAGATTCTCATGAAATCATAAATTTAAACTATAAAACATAATGTGCTTTCAATACTTTAGATGATCATGGTCCAAATTTATTTAGGTTGAACTTTTTCCAGTTTTTATATAATTTATGTTAAATGGAGACATATATTCTATACTCAAAATGGAAATAAGTTTTACAGTCATCTTTTAAAAGTCTGTCTCTTATTTTAATCTTTTTAGTATTTTCTTTAATGTTAGACTACAAATTAGAAGTTTTCCACCTAAAATGTATTTTGGGAGCTGAAAGTTTTCTCATTATTTTCAATACTTTAATTTTTATTTTTCTAACTTTAAATTTTATATGTTTTGGTTCAGATACATTAATTAAAATGTTATTAATTTGAACCATTGTAATCTAATGCTCTTTTATTTTTCCTTAGCATTTACTAAAATATATCTTATTAGTAGCTTTTTTGTACTCAGAAAAACTCTGGCTCATTTTATTTATAATATTCTGTGAATAAAACCCATTTCTCCATGGTATTTACTGTTTCAAAAAAAATAACACTCTGTATTATTGACTCATACCCAATTTATTACCCACTGTTGATAACCATCAGATCTTTTCCTGTGGTACCACTGTCAGGACAGCATTCCCTTATTCTATATATTTGTGCATTTAACTTCCTCTTGTGGTAAGTCACATTACCTGTCTCCACTGAATCTCATTTTTTTAATTTTGTCACTGTTCTCCAATTAACAACAAAATTCATATTTTAATCTTCTTTTCCAAAACAAAAAATATATAAATAAAGTGAGCATTTTAAAATCTTTTTATATCAATAAATAGCTCTCCAAATCTTCATTTTAATGACTACCTAAATACATTATAATTCTGTCAAATTTTTGAAGGACTTTCTAAATAATAACATTCTAGCCATGTAGTATCAAAATGTAGATATTGAAAAGGAATTTGAGAAACTCAGCAACTAGGAAGAAAAAGAAATGACTCAATACTCTCAAGCTTCAAAAACTAATAACCAACAGTGGATTAATGAAGCACTAAATCCATCTCCATTAAAATAAATAATAAGAGGGAAGTCATTATTGTCATTTTCGTTCACGATTACTTCAGTGATTCTAGTGAATTGATCAAAAGTTGCTAAAAAAGGTACAAGACCAGACTATGAACTTAGAAAAAATTATAGCAAAGCAACTAACTTTTTACCAGTTTTTTTAAAAAAATGTACTTTCAATAATATTTATATAGAAAAAAAAGCACTGATTCTTGGATAATGATCTGCCCTCTAAAACTAGGTTTCCATCATTATTAAGCCTGATTCTCTTTGCAAACTGCCAAGGACAACATTCCACTGACCAAACAAGGCACTTAGATGTGGTGGTCCCCAAGATTCCCACCCCTCTTATACATATCCTATATAATCACCTTCCTTTGATTATAGATGGCACTTGTTAATGTGATGGGATTTCACTCCTGTTGTTAGGTTGTGTTACATGGTTACTGTTAAGACATTTTGCAGAAGTGCCTGATAAGGTTCCTGAGAAAATGACTGAATTAGTCAAAAGGGAGATTATTTTGGGTGGGCTTGAGCTTATCAAAAGAGACCATTAAAAAAGCATTTGGGTCTCTCAGAAGGAAAGCCAAAGAGATGTTCACTAACATGAACTACACAACAATGAAGAAATAACCAACTCTGTAAACTGCCTATAGAGACAGTCACATGGCAAGGATTTGAAAGCAGCCCTTAGTTGCTTGAAGTTATCCCTGTCTAATTTCCAGCAAGAAATTGAATAGCTCAGTCCTGCTGGAATACGAAACTGAATTCTGTCAACAACCATGAGCTTACTAGAGAACTTCAAGTTTCAGGAAAAAGCCCATGCAATGCCTACATAGTAGCTCTGTGAGATTTTGTGCAAAGCATCCAAGCTTGGACTCTTGACCATGGACACTAAAATAATAAGTTTGTATTGTTTTAAGTCACTAAATTTGTGATGATTTTTATGCAACATAGAACACTAGTCATATTATGCCATTACTATTTGATGGACAAAGGAAGAGAATACATTAGAAGTAGTAGGCATATTTGTTTGACTGCTTTGGTTGCATTTGTTGATCCAGCAAAAAAAAGTGAGTGTAAAAATTAAGTCCCTTGGTGTAAATCAGTACTGTCAGGTTGTGAACATCTATTAGCTCATTCCGATTATTCAACAAAGGCTCTGGACCGTAACTTAGGAGCACTCCAAAAAAAAACCACCCAGAATAAGTCTGTGCTTTCTTTGTGGGATGAGTATTCAGGACTCTGAGTGGACTGGTTCTGAGGTCCCCAAAGGAAAGGTAATCATACCTCCTGATTACACCACAGAATGTCCTCCATTAAGCACTTCCATTAAAGTATGTCCCATTAAAAATAGTAAATAATGTTTTTGCCCTTCCCATAAGACTCCTGATCCAGAACTATCCTAGAAACTATCCTAGAAAATGTCTTTCCCAACAATCTCTCTTCTTGCTTGAGAGGGAGAATGAATAATTAAACCTCTAGAGAAGTGATTTCTTTCTTTTTTTGGAGTGGGGTATCATGGATTGAACTCAGGGGTACTCAACCATTGAGTCACATCCCCAGTCCTATTTTGTATTTTATTTAGAGACAGTGTCTCACTGAGTTGCTTAGCTCCTTGCTATTGCCAAGGCTGGCTTTGAACTCGAGATCCTCCTGCCTCAGCCTCTGAGCTGCTGGCATTACAGGTGTGTGTCATCATTCCCAGTGGCAGCAGTGATTTCTAATCTTTTTAAATAAAATTACCCTTTGAAAACCTGTTGAAATCTATTGACTTCTTATACCATAAAAGTGTACACAGTTTTACATATTTGAGGAGACTCATGGGACCCAAGTACATTCATACACTCCTTAGGTTCTTGGAGTCTAGGTTAAAAAATTGAGCTGAAGTATAAAACTTACAAAGTCACTGTAACATAAATTAGTCTAAAATTACCTGTATCTGAATGATTTTTTTAGGACCCCATAGATGCACCATGAATAGCAGGTAGAGACCCTGTCCTTGTCAGGCTCCACTAGAACAATTTAAAAGACTAGACTACAGCTTACAACACCCTTTTGCAACAATTCTTTGCAAAAGAAGTACTTCCACAGTGGTAAAGTATAGGAAAAGAAATAGAGACTAAAAGGGGCACATAATTAAGCCAACTTAAGTTGCAGTTGATGTTCTTGATTAAAAATACAAACACATAATCAAAACCTAAAAAAGACAGAAAGTTGCTTTTTAGGGTATCTCAAGTGTGAGATATTATATACTGTATTCTCATTACTCTCAAAAATGATGCAATTTACTCCCACTTTTCAATCTCCTTCTAGGGATCTCTAGAATGTATGATTTTCTTAGACTGTCACACTGTAAACATAAGGGATCAACCATTTCTTTTCACACTTTCTAAGAGCCACTGGAATGGAAACTTCAGCCTCCTGACAAGGATTGTGAAGATAATACAATCCTTTCCGTTTCCAAGGGATGACAAGTAGTTTCATTATGAGAGGAATCTGAAAACCACTGGCTCATGTGCTTCTATTGGCCGAAGTTAAGAAATATTCCTTAGTGGACTTTTTTTTTTTCTCTCATACTGGGATTTCCAACAGGTGCCTTCTCTTCTCCTTATAATAAATTCATTGGGATAGATTCTCCCTTTGTAGAGGGAGGTCTTCAGTTTGAAATGGGTCATTTTATCTTTGAGGGAAGATTCTAGGAATCCTATATACCACAGAACCCATCACGTATACCTAATAAGAAGGTTGTGAAGATAACATAGCATACAATAAATATTGAATAAATATTTCCTATTACACTCAACCTTGACCAGTATGGGTTGTGATATAGTTTAGATATGAGTTGTTCCCCAAAAGCTCATGTGTGAGGCAATACAAGAGGGTTTAGAGGTGAAATGATCAAGTTACAAGAGCCTTAACCTAATCAGTGCATTAATCCTCTAATAGTGATTAACTGACTGGTAACCGTAGGCAAGTAGAGTGTGGCTGGAGAAGTTGAGTCCCTGGGAGTGTACCTTTGGATACATATTTTTTGCTTGTTGAGCAGAGTTCTCTCTGTGCTTCCTCGTGAAATGTCCCTAGATGCTTTCCTCTACCACACTCTTCTGCCATGATGTTCTGCCTCACCTCAAATCCTGAGGAATAGAGTCGGCCATCCATGGACAAGACATCTGAAACGGTGAGCCCCCAAATAAACTTTTACTCCTCTAAAATTGCTCTTGTGAGGTCTCTGGGTCACAGCAGCCAAAAAGCTAACTAAAACACCCCCTAATTAGAAATTACCCTAATGTCCATCAACTGGTGATGGTTAAAACATACTATATCCATGGAAGGGAAAATTACTAGGCAATTAAAAGCAATAAAATATGTATTTTTACTATAACACAGATGAATCTCAAAAACATTATACACTAAATGAAAAAAGGGAGTTGTAAAAACCACATATTGCATAATGTCATTTATATGAAATATACAGAAAAGGCAAAACTGTGGAGATAGGAAATAGTTTGTTTAGTGGTTTCCTAAAGCTGGAGATGGTAAAGAGCAATTAATGCAAATAGGTACAAAGGATTTTTGAGAGTGAAAGAAATGTTCTTAAATTGAATTAATGTGATGGTAACACAATTTGGTAAATATACTTAAAGTCATGGGATTTTATACTTAAAATGAATTAATTCATATGGGCAAATAAATAAGACCTTAATAAAGCTATTTTGGAGGGAAAGTCATGAATTGAACGGCAATCTACACTGTAAATGGAATAAACAGAATACATAAAATATTTTTGGAGGGCAGTACAGCAATGTCTCTAAGGTTTTATATAAACTCTCTGACCCTCCTATATTTTTAAGGATTTTCCTCATAGATATGTTCACAAAAGAGCACAAAACAGGTGAAAAAGAACTTTCCTAAAATCTTTCCTAAAAGATTCTAAATTTTTTTTTGTTAGGGTAAGAGTTCCATATATGACTTATTCTATAAAATAAAATACTATGGAGAGTTTTTTAAGGAAAAATTAAGCTAATTAGATATAGTTTAGTTTATAATATATTATTTATTGTTTTAAATATTTATTTTTTTGTAGATGGACACAATACTTTTATTTTATTTATTTATTTTTTTATGTAGTGCTGAACCCAAGGCCTCACAGATGCTAGGCAAGCGCTCTACCACCAAACCACAAACCCAGCCCTGATATATTATTTTTAAGTGGAAAAAATATGTAACACACATGATATATTTATTAATTGTATAAATATATATATTTGTATGTGCATGGAATATGTCTGAAAAGTTATACATAAATATTGTCTCTGAAGAATAGGAGTAAGAAAGCAATTAAGACCTTAACTTTTACTTTATATATTTCTTCTGACTATTTTAACTTTTCAAAAGTAAATTTTATCACCCCTATATAAAAGAATATTTTTACTTAATAAAAAGTCAATAAAGAAAAAAAACAAGTTGAATAAGAATTAGTTGGCCACCAACTGAGAATTAATAGTGAAATATACTGAAACTTTATACTGAAGCAAAAATGAACCCTACATTATAGTTAACATACCATCTTGTGATAGGATTATACCAGTAGCCTTTGCATCAGTGCAGTGAGGGACAAGTAGCCCTTAAAAGTATCAGTATGCAGTATATGGAATATACAAGTGATTAAAATGGCCAATTACTAGACAGCTCAATGAAGATGTTGCTTTTAGAGGAATCAGGAACAATTTCCTACATGCTATTAATGGTCACAATCTGTTCAGCATTGAACTGCATTTTTCTAATGGAGGGGTGTACAAAGTGCATTTTCACTTTAAGTACATAACAACAGAGTTGTAACAGCAACAGCTACTATTGAGTGAGTGTCTACTCTGCTAGGTACTTTACACACACACATTAGATCTAAAACATCAACTCTGCAACATAGGAATCATTGTCCTCTTTGTTTCATTTGAGGAAACAGGCTCAGAGAATTAAATTCTTTGCAAAACAGTCCACAGAGAGTACCCACTAATAGAGCTGGGACTTTTTGATGGCAATGCTGGCGCTTTCCTATCAAGTCTTACAGTAAAATAGTGAGCATTTAGAGATTCTTTCAAGTTTTGAAGAGCCTATTTTTTTCATTGAGGTTCAAATTCTTACCTGCTCATCTACCTCTTGAAAGCTGTCAACATCAGTGCCGTTTGTTTCAAACTTTCCACAGGTGCCACTTAGAGATGAGCTGCTATCACTTATGCTGCCTTCTGGGGTCCCTGTGACACTGTCACTAGCTGGCCGAGAAGACACAAAGAGGCTGATGTTGTCAAAATCATCGTCACAGAACCTGTTCTCAGCATCAGCCTTCTGCACTTTTGCTGGATTGTACGGTTTTAGGAAGGAGGAATACACATATCCTTTTACAACTAGGTAGGAAATAAAAAGAAAGAAGAACCAATGTCAAGTGCATACTGTTCCCAAATGCCTGGGTTTAGAGAAGCACACAAAGACCATTGGGAAAAAAATCTCAACCTGAGGAGGGGTGGTAATTCTGGAGAAAAACTTACTTCCCGTGTCAACGAGCCACCTGCTAGTACTCCCCAGTGGATCTTTCTGTTCCATCACAGCCACCAACTCTCCTTCCAAAAGGTTGATGTCATATTCTTGTGTGGCATTGCACTTGCGCTTAGCTTGGTAGAGTTCCTCTGCACTGTATGTGGACAGAAGTTTGGAGCGATGAATGTCAGTTTGACGTGGCACTTCTGGCTGGGAAAAGCAAGGAGAATATTTGTTTCATGTGGATGTATAATGAAATCCTCAGTAAATTCGTAACATTTTTCTCCATAGATTCTTTAAAAACATATACCGATTGGGGTTTATTTCAAGGTGAAGTCTTAGATTAGGCTCTTATTGTCGAGTGCTCCAGTAAGTCATGCAGTGAAAAATTCTCTAGTAAGCACAGGAGGGCAGTGTTGTAGAAAAGAAAGAAAATTCATGTGAAAAATCAGGAGGCAGAGGTTCTAATCCCTCTTGAACAACATTTTAACCCTTTGGTATTTTCTGAGCAACATTTTAACTCTTTCTATATTAAGCACTTGATAAATAATATTTCATTCAATAAATTGCACACTTGCTTGTCTTTTTCTAGAAAATAGCAGTGAATTCAGCAGGAGTAAGAAGCCATAGACCCCTTCCAAGCTCCCGCCCACTAAGTGACTTTGAGAAAACCACTTTATCTCTGGAACCCAGGGTGCCTTAGCTTGAAAATGCAAAGGCTGGATTACATGATTTACCTCTAAAATACTTGTAAACAAATATTTAGAGTGCCTATCTTGTGTCAAGCACCATTTTAGGCATTTTAAGGATATGCTATGTACAAAACAGAAACCCAAATCCATGATTTTATGGATTAACAAACTCATAGAACAAAGGCTATAGAATATATTTAGTATACAGGGTAAAAATAGAGAGGAAATTTAAACATAAAGAACAAATTATAAGATTAGAATGAAATTAGTGATAAGAAAAATAATATGATACTATGATTCGGACAAAGTGAAGTAGTAATATTTTAACAGTCATGGATGCTCCTATACTCACCAGAACCGGCACAGGCTTCTTCTTTTCAAAACTGAGTTTCCTCTCAATAAAGGTGGCACTATTGTCCTTTACAAAATTCAGATTGTGAACCTCTTCTAGTACTCGATTCTGAATCTCAGAGATGCTTGAGACCAACAATGGTGCCTATGGTAGAAGTAATACAGCATCATTTCCACACAGCTATATAACCATATTAGGAGTTAAATTTACCAGAGTTGCAATAAGCATTTGAGAAAGTGTAAGGGAGCTCATAGTGGAAAAATTAGGGCAATTCTAGAACTTTTGAATGAGGATAATCTAATTTACCGTATCTAGAAACCCTGTGAAAATGATAGGAATATATGTATATATGAAAGTTTCAAGTCTAAATAAAAGGAGAACAGAAGAAGAAAGAGGAGGAGGAGGAGGAGGAAAAATAAGCAACAAAGTCATGGAACAAAGGCTCAAGAATTAATGGTGGAGAGACCCTGCACCTACTAGAAGAAACAGTAGACCCAAATCTCCATCATGTAGGCTTAGAAACTGACTTCCTTAACAAGACTCTGAAAGCACATGAAATAAAATCAAGAATCAATAAATGTAATGACATCAAACTAAAAAGCTTCTTCACAGCAAAGGAAACAATCAAGAACATAAACAGAGAGCCTACAGAAGGAAAGAAAATCTTTGCCACCTGCATATCAGACAGAGCATTAATCTCCAGAATATAGAAAGAACTAAAAAAATTAACACCAAAAAAAAAACCCCAACAAATAACCCAATCAATAAATGGGAAAAGGAACCAAATGGAGACTCACAGAAGAAGAAATACGAATGGTCAAAAAATATATGAAAAAGTGTTCAACTTCCCCAGCAATTAGAGAAATGCAAATTAAAACTACACTGAGATTTCATTTCACTCAGAATGGCAATTATCAAGAATACAAGCAAAAATAAATGTTGACAAGGATGTGTGGATAAAGATTCACTCATACATAACTGATTGGACTGCAACTTGGTATAACCATTCTATAAAAAACAATATGGGTGTTCCTCAGAAAACTTGGAATGGAACCACCATTTGACCCATCTGTCCCACTCCTCAGTTTATACCTAAAGGACTTAAAATCAGCATACTACAGTGATGCAGCCACATCAATGTTTAAAGCAGCTTAACTCACAATAGGCAAATTATGGAACCAAAGTAGGTGCCTTCAACACCTAGTTTGGATAAAGAAAATATGGTCTATATACACAATGGAATATTACTCACTCTTAAAGAAGAATAAAATTATGGTATTTGCAGGTAAATGGAGGTAGCTGGAGAATATGCTGTGCAAAATAAGCCAATCCCAAAAAACCAAAGACTGAATGTTTTCTCTGATATGCAGATGCTAATTCACAATACGGAGCTAGGGAAAGCAGAGATACTTTGGATTAGGCAGAGGGGAGTGAAGGGAAGGGAGGGAATATGGGAGTAGAAAGGATAGTAGAATGAATCAGACATTATTACCCTGTGTACATATATGATTACATGGCCAGTGTGATTTTTCATCATGTACAACCAGGAGAATGTGAAGTTATGCTCAATTTATGTATGATGTGTCAGGATGCATCCTACTATTATGTATAACTAATTAATTTTTAAAAAATTTAAAAACAAATAATAAAAATAAGAATTCATGGTGGTACGAATCTCCCACACAGTGGAGTAGTATAGTGACAGGGGAAAAGAGTCTAAGATAAGAAGCACTAATTGAGTGTCTGTGCTAAGATTTAAACAAATCAGCAGATTCCTTGACATGCTTCCCATCAAGATGTAGAGTCTAGGTTCCTGCCTCTCAAAACCAGGTGGATCTTTATGGTTGTTTTATTATGTGTGGGATGTTGGGGCTACAACCCAGGACCTTGTTCTCGTTAGGCAAGGGCTCTTCCAATAAGCCACACCCTCAGTGATAAGTGGGTCTTTACAGTGACCTCAATAAATAGGATGCTGAAAAGAACAGAACCATGGAAATGATGCTGTCTGACTTTAAAGATTAGACTAGAAACAGTCGTGCAGTTTATGCTGGTATTCTTGGGACACTCACTCTGGAAACCTTCACTCACTTTGGAGAAGCCCATCTTCTCTGTGGCCACCATGTAAGAAGACCATAATGAAAGATGAGAGAGAGTGGGGGGGACTCCCCTTGGGACCCCAGCTATTCCAATCCAAACTGAATGACCAACAGCCCAGTGAATCCCTGAAACCATGAACTATAATAATACCATGTTTGGTGTCATCTAATTTGAGCCCCAGATTTTTTTTCACCATTTCAATGAAATTGAATGATTATCTCTTCCCTTCCTTGGCAGAAGATGAAGATTCTTTTTCTGCAAATGGTAAAACAGTCTCTAGAATGAGTGACGCTATGCATTAACAAGGATAGGGGACCCATATTGAAAAGAGGGAAAATAAGAAACAGATGTATGCTGACCTTGAAACCCTTTTCCATTTCCCCACCACCAACCTTAGAAATCATACGGCTTCCCTGCAGACAGAAGACTTGAAGAACTGTCTGTGGATATTCTGACCAGTCTTGAGAGGAGAAAGACCTAACGAACCTATTATGAAGGGTTCTCAAATGAAATGACAGATCACACAATCATGAAACACAGTTTTCAACTACCTACGGGCTCAAGGGTGTCATTTAGTCCTCAACTTTTTCAGTGGTCGACAGATCATTAGACAGCCCAGGCATGCCTCTAATATGAGGGAATCTGATAAATAGAAAAGCAACTTGTCTTAATTTTAAGAAAACAAAGAGCCCTTGAATATTAAAATAAGAGCAGAAATAAAAGGAAATAATTGATGGGTTAGAAGACTAAAGTAGGAAAATTTCATAAGAGATTGAGAAAAGTTATAGAGATAGAAAATAAGTGAGAAAAAATAATAAATTTAGAGGTAACAATCTAGGAGGTTCTGAAAAAGAAAAAAGGAGCAAAGAAAGAAAAAATCATCAACAAAATTGAATTTCATCAAGGAAATTGAGATTGAATGAATTTTGAAATTGAGAATTTCAAAAAGTTTCTAGAAGAGGCAGAATTTTCATGTTAAAAGGATCCCACCAAGTGTCCAAAATTTCAGACGGGGAATTCCTAAGTGCTTCCAAGGGTCCAATGAGAGGACATATATACATAGAACGTACATAGAACCAAGAATCGGACTGGGTTGTCAATTCTCAGTGAAACAGTGGAAGCTAGAATAAAATAGAACAATTTTTGTAATGTTTTCATATGCACAAAGAACAACTTCTACATCCACAGAAACCATCAGTAAAGCATGATGATATTAAAAAGACATTTTTCTGGCATACAATGTATCAAAATATTCATCTCCCAATCATTTTTTTTTCAGAGAACCACTCAGAAATACACTTCTCCCCAGATAAGGGCATAAAGGAATAAGTCAACATGGCATCAGAAAATAAGGAATTGGGATCCCACACAGAATAGAGAAGAAGGGGTCCCTTAGAATGATGATGAGGTGTGATCCCAGGATTACGGACAGAAAGGCAGTTCAGATTGTAGCAGATTAGAAAGCACTGGGAGAGATTTCTGCAAGAAGGCACGATTTATAGAATACCACACACATCTGAAAGTCTTAAAAGGTTAGTCAATTGAGAGGTAAAATTAGACAAAGAAAAATGAAGCAACTGGCAAAAGAAAAACAATTACTAACTTCAGAAAAAAAAGCTATACATGAAAGACAAATTAATTGTGGTGTTCTGTGTAGCTAACCAGCATTCACTTTGTGTGCTGGGTATCTGTGTACATCTTCAAATTTATTCTCCTTCCTTTCTACCCTGCTCTATGTGCCAAGAGTCTCATCGGAATTAAAGAACAACAGGTCACTGGGCATGGTGGTGCATGCCTGCAATCCCAGCAACTCAGGAGGCTGAGGCATGAAGATTGCAAGTTTGAGACCAGCCTCAGCAAGTTAGCAGGTCCTGTGCAACTTGGTAAGACCTTGTGTTAAAATAAAAAAATAAAAAGGGTTGGGGATATGGCTCAGGGCTTAAAAGCCCCCAGGTTCAATCCCCAGTACCAAATAATCAAATAAATAACAATAACAACAATAAAACAATGTTGCACTCTGGTTTCAGATGGGTTCAGTCAATGAAGAGTACACACAGGAAATCAGAATGAGAAAAGAAACTGAGATAAGGATATTTATTTCCTAAATTTTCTTTCTGTAGTATTAACTGAACAACACAGACCTATCAGATTGTCCTGTGCACATCCCTCTCTTTGTCCATTCCTATGCCAACCTCTTCCCTTATCCATTTAATCCTAGGTGTTATATGGCTCCCCTCTTTTGCTACCCTTGGGGCAGAACACTGGCTGCAAAGATTTCCCCATAGCATTCTCACATTTTTGTAAATAATCACTTTATTAATTTTTTCTCCAAATGATCAATTTGAGTGTTCTGGTTTTTTTATACTAATATTATGACAGATACATAAGTTAAACAATTTAAATAGCATGTAAACATAGCTAAATTTATGGTATAACTACTGGAGCTCCATAGCAAGATCTTCTGTGAATATATATGTTGTGAGAACATAAAAAAGAGGGCTAAGTTCTCATTTTTCATAGTGGAATACGTTATGCCTAAAAGTGAAAAATAATGAAATGGCAAAATAAAATCTTATTTTAAAATATGAAAGTAAATACCAAGAGAATCACCTAAAAGAATTGAAAAATAGTTGTCCCCGAGGAAGAAGAAATAGAATAAAGAGAGTGAAGGACAACTGTTTTTCTTGGCCAAACTTAAATAACTACTTGAATCTTTAAATTATGTGCATGCATAATTGATAAAAATGAAAATGAAAAAAACAGGACTTTGGATTCTTCAGAACATTAAAAATAGAGTTTCTATATGATTGAGCATCTCCCTTCTGCATATATATATATATATATATATATATATATATATATATATATATTTATATACTAAATAATCAAAAGTAAGGATCTTAAAGAGATTTTACATACCCATTATCACTGTAACATTTTTCACAATATCCAAGAGAAAGAAACAGCCATTAACAGATGCATGAATAAACAAAAATGTATCTACATACAATGGAACATTATTCAGACTTAAAAAGAAAAAAAAATTCTGCCACATGCTACAAAATGAATAAACCTTGAGGGCTATTTTAGTTAGTTTTCACATTATTACGACCAGAAAACCAGACAACAACTTAAAGAAGCAAAAGTTTATTTTGGCTCCTGATTTCAGAAGTTCATGGTCTAACAAGCCATAGCTGTGGGCTCAAGTGAAGCAGATTAGGGCAGTATAGTGTGGCAGAGGAAAGCAGCTCAGGACATAAAACCAGGAAGCAGAGAAAGCCCCATTCACTGGGGATAAAATATAAACCCCTAAATCATGCCCTCAGTGACCTACTTCATACAGTCACCCCCTACCTGCCTACAGTTACAACCCAGTTAATCTCTATCAGTGGATTAATCCACTCATTCGGTTACAACTCTCATAACCTAATCATATCACCTCTAAACATTCTAACATTGTCTCACACATGAGCTTTTAGGGGACATCTCATACACAAACCATAACAAGGGCATTATGCTAAATAAAATATGCCAGTCACAAGGAGACAAACACTATGATTTGATTTATATGAGGTATTTAAAGTAGTCAAACTTATAGAAACAGAAAGTAGAATGATGGCTTCCAGGAACTGGGGCAGGGGGGAAATGAGGACTTGTTTAATTGAAATGAGGACTTGTTTAATTGGTTTATTTCAATTTTGCAAGATGAAACTGTCTTGGCACTGCATTGCATAACAATGGAAATAAACTTAATGCTTCTGAACTCTGCACTTAAAAATGGTTAAGATGGTAAATTTATTATTTTTTTAAAGAGAGAGGGAGAGAGGGAGAGAGTGAGAGAGAGAGAATTTTTAATATTTATTTTTTTAGTTATCGGCAGACACAACATCTTTGTTTGTATGTGGTTCTGAGGATCGAACCCGAGCCACACGCATGCCAGGCGAGCGCGCTACCGCTTAAGCCACATCCTCAGCCCCAAATTCATTATATTTTTACCACAATTAAAATTTCAAACTGGCCAGGTGTGGTGGCACACTCCTGTACTCCCAGCAGCCAGGGAGGCTGAGGCAGGAAGATTTCGAGTTCAAAGCCAACCTCAGCAACAGTGAGGCTCTAAGCAGCTCAGTGAGACCCTGTTTCTAAACAAAGTACAAAATAGGGTTGGGCATGTGGCTCAGTGGACAAGTGCCCCTGAGTTCAATCCCTGGAAAAAAAATTCAAAATTATATGCTATTATTATTATTCTAGTGCCAGAGACAATTCTCTAATCACTATTTATTTCTGTCTTTCAGTAATATAGACATAGTCATGAGAGATGTTACCATTGGGGAATTGTGGAGTATCAGGATCTCTGTGATTTCTTATAATTAATATAACTCTATATCTCCAAACAAAAAGTTTAAATATATATATATATATATATATATATATATATATATATATATATATATATAACATATATACTATAGAATGAAACCAGTTGAGTGAGGATAAATATCTCCAAAGTGATTTTTCACTTCTTTAGTACATTAGCAAAAAAAAAAAAAAAAAATCTCTGTGCTTCTGTTTTACTATGGACTACAATGTGAAAGATGTGCCCGGATAACCTAAAACAGAATCTGAAGTATCTTTAAAAATTATCTGATCCAAAGTGGGGATCAAGGAGGAGAAAGCATCTGATCGACTGTTCTTAAATAACATATACACGAAGACCACACACACACACACACACACATGCACTCTTGGAACAGGGCTGCATTCTCATAGGAGTGGTTTCTAACAGACCTGGGAGGCCAAGGTGGCCAGGTGCTGGTACTGTGCTTACCGGCACAACTGTGGAATAAGCCTGTTGTGCTGCATGCATCAGGTCCCTGAGGAGGGTGATGAGATTGCACAGACAGTTCAACAGAATCTTCCGGGCAGCCTGGTTGAACACCTGAAGCTCTTCTACCAGCTGGGCATTGAGGGCTTCATATTCCTTTTTGGCCAAGTCTGACTCATCTCCTGCTGACCGCTGCAGGTAGCTGTTGTAGTCTAACAGTTTGTCATAGCGTTTCTGGATGAGCTTCTGAGGTCCTGGGAATAAGGACAGCAGGGCTGACAGCGGGTTCAGGACGAGTCTCTGCAAGTGAGATGCCTGTCAAAAGAAATGATGACCCCATTACAGAGAAGGGAATAGCCCATACCATTGATCTGGGTAGCCTGCCTCCTCTCCACAGGAGCACAAAAGAACCTGGGCAGCATCCATCCACGTTAGAAGAGAAACTCATCATTTTTGTCTCTAGCTAAACCTTTTCAAGGACTTAAAACAAAGACTCTAATATGGAACATGAAGAGTGAGCAGGAAGAGAAATACAAAACACCTGGTCACCCAAAATCCAACTCCAGCTTTCTTTCTGAAGCCATTTGGTTTTGTCACCTGAACACTGCCCACTTCCCCTTCTTTCTTATCCCAGAGCCAACCTGAGCTATTTCACACATGGCGGGGGGTGAGGTCAATCACCAAATTTTGACTACCAGAAATGAATGATTCACCATATCACTGTGACCACTTGGCGACGGCAAAAGTTGTGGTCTTAGAAGAGACTGTAACATACTCCCCCCAAGGTGGTCCCAAATCCCTAACTACTCTGAAGACTTTATTTTTGGTAGTGGAATTGCATCCCCCATACAGATAACAATACTTTAATATGAGTATTTACTCCTGTAACAGAAATGACCAGAGATATACACTTCCTCATTTAAATACATTAAAACTGGTGCTGGTCCCTGTATCTTAAATTGTTACTTTTTTAGCTCTGAATCATAAAAAATAATCTTTGAGTTCATTCCCAATCCTGTGTTGGCATTGAAGCACCCTAGATTTAACTTCTTCTATTACTCTATTCTGAAACACACTAATATCTTATGTTTGCTGATTGCCCTATGTTATAGTTTGGATCTGAAATGTCCCTCAAATTCATTGTGTTGAAAATTTGGTCCCCAGTGCAGGAGGGTATAGAGGTGGGGCTTTTGAGAAGTGATTGCATCATGAGGATTCTGACCACATCAGTGGATTAACCCATTGATACCTGAGTGGATTACTGGGAAGTGATGTAAACTATAGGTAGGCAGAGCACAGCTGGAGGAAGGAGGTTACTGGGAGTGTACCTTGGGGACAATCTTGCTCCAGTCCCCCCCCCCACCCTCTCTCACTGGCTGTATGAGCTAGGCAGTTTTCTTCTGCCATGCTCTTCTGCTATCAGGTTCTGCCTCATCCCAGATCCAGAATAGTGAAGCTGGACAATCATGGACTGAAACTTCTAAAACCTTGAGCCAAAATACCTCTTCCTCTAAGTTGCTTATATCAATTATTTTGGTCAAATATAAAAAAATCCCTACTTTACCCTATATACTTGGGTTACAGGACTACATTAGAAAAATTTGGTAGCAGGTTTTCTTCTGTAACCTCGAAGAGGTCCCAGGGAATCCACATCTGAGCAGCAATCTGTATTAATTAATTTAAAAGCCCCCTGATAACTTTATCTGAACTCACGGGAAATCTAAAAGAGAGGGGAACCAATCTCTTATTGGCACTAGCAAGAGCCAACACATTAGATTTGATGTCTACTTTATAAAATAATCAATATACAACTGCATACATACTGTTTAATGAGTCTCTTGACTAAGTAAAGAATCTGTTTACTATGTCTGGTATAAATTACTATGTTTGTTAAATGACCAGATTCTACAGGTAATATAATTACAAAATTAGTATACAAAAAATTTATCTGCCTTTAGATTTTTGAGTTCTTAGTATTTCATTTTTAAAATGTCCTATATATTATTCATAAATGTTACTTTTTTGAGCTTTCTGATTATTTATTTTAACTTAGCCTAATTAGTCATTGTAATGCAAGGTAGGTAAGATAGCTTTTTTCGTCTTTCTCTTGAATTTTGGAGCAGACTTGCTAAGGAAGAAACTACCATGCTCTCAGATAGTGCTCAATAAATATTTATTGACTTAATGGATTTGAACTAACCTAAAGAGCAAACCCTTAAGGCTTTTCTAAAATGTGCTCTCTGTAATTAAACCCAGAAAATACATAGAAAACTACCCATGCTTTTCCCATTAAACCTCTGATTTAAAAACTTCTGTCATCCACTCATCCATCCTTCTACTCACCCATCCATCCACCCACCCACCCATGAGCAACTTATCTATGGATCATGTATATTTATCATGTATCATGTATATGTATCATGTATATTTGCTGATGTAATCCTGACTTTTCATTTCCTAATGCCAGAAATGTAAGATGCTTTTATGTGGTTTTCTAGTGGGGTGAGGAGTTTATCACTTCCTAGGGTTTGGAAATATGTGGAGCTATTCATTGATTCTCCCTGTGACTTGACATAGGGGGATGTTATTGATATTTTGAGGCTGGTGAGCTAGGAATGCTAAACATTGTCCCATACAAGAGCTTCTCTGAAGACTTATATGAACCAAAGTGCAAATTACACCAATGCAAAAAATTCACCTTCAATATGGTGGAATCTATTATACCTTCTATAGAATACCTGAAATATACTATGACATAATAATAACCATAGAAACTCAAGACATTAATTAAAATTTGTATTACCCAGACTAGCTTACCACCCAAATATTTTATTGACTCAAGCATGTTTTTATGATTCCCAGCCCATATTTTATAGAACTCTTAGAAAAGAAATATTTGAACATGGAAAAGAAGAAAATTACACATGACTCTTAACGGAAAGAAAGCTTTGTTGCCAAGTGTGTATCGTGTTAGTAAGAATCACATCCTCAGAAAATACCTGTGCTCCCTCTGTAAGGACATAAGACATTTCTAAAGATACGTTAAGAAAATCATAGCTTTCCAACTTAATAAATCCTTGATATAATATATGCAAACTCCAACTAAATATTGATTCTAAAAGCTACACAGGCACTAACTACTGCTAGGAACACAGTCCAGAGTTGTCTTAAATTTCAATTATAGTAAAATCCTCAACTAATCCACTTTAGAAATATTTAATTTTTTAAAAATCCCTATTAAAATCTTCTAATTTTAACATTAGTATTTGCTTTAGTGCATATTTTATTTCTCACTCTGGAAAAAAAGAAATAAAAAACAGCATTTCTTTTTAACTCCACTATTTAACTTGTATTTTCTATGAATATAAATAACTTACAAAGTCATGACAGGGATTTGGAGCATTACTCAGAGTCTCTGAATAGCCCACCTCCTCCTCATCTTTGTTGTACGAAATTTCCCGGAGCTCCCTCACACTCTGGAGAGCAATAGGCATGGCATCCTGAAACCGAACAACAAGGTAAGTTCTGAAGTTATTACAAATAAATGTGTATCCAATGCAAATGTCACCATTATTTCTTCTGAGAGATCAAAAGGGGATAAAAAGGGGGACTGGAGTTGTGGCTCAGCGGTAGAGAGCTCACCTATCATGTGAAAGGTGCTGGGTTTGATCCTCAGCACCACATAATAAACAAACAAACAAGTAAATAAATAAATGAAAGATAAAGTTATTGTGTTCAACTACAACTAAAAAAAATTAATTTTTTTTAAAAACGGGGAAAACTATTAAACTTTTGTGAATATTTTGTACAATCAGATTACTTAATCTCTCTCCCTCCTTCTCCCCCCATCACTTTTTCATAATATTTTGTATAATGCCCTTGTTGATTCATAGAAGTTCTTATTGGCCATTCTTTAGCATTTGATTCACAGATTGCTTATTTTAAAAAATCACTGCTCTTGATATAATCATCACTTTTCCTTAGTGAATTTAATGCTCTCTTTAAGAGAAGATTTCTCACTTTTTTTGTTGAATCAATCAGTTAAAATACAGGATTTTCCAGTAAATGTTCCCAAGAGACATTTACTCCTCAAAGGATATGTAAAGATACACAAAGGACAGTCCCCTCTGCCCTCTAGCTGTTATAACTGTTTTGGTTTCCTTTTCACAGAAGGCAGTGCTTAAGAAAGAGATTAGCAAACCTAATTGTAAAATCAGGATTTGCCTCAGACAATAAATAAAAACAGAATGGTGCTCTTAGGACAGAACATGGAACCCTGTCTCCAAATCAGTGTGCTGGTCACCTTAACCCTCAGCTGGTGTAATACTTCATCTCGGTGTGCAAGCATCTACTTCAAAAACAGATAAGCAAGAGAATACGTTTCTGGAAAAGGAAGGGAGCCATTTATTAACTTATTTACATGGAACTCCACTAATTTCCTATGTCTCATAGTCATAACCACTGTCAAGATGCTGCTTAGGACACCGTGTCCTCGATAAGATCCATTAGGAGAATCTCCTGACTGGCTTTGCTACTGAGAATAATCATGCTGTACTCCAACAGGAGTTTGTTGAAGTCAGTGATTCTCAAGAGGGTCAGCACAACCTCCTAGAGGACTAGAAATTTTCAGAGATGTTTTTGTTTTCTGGTATAATTGTGTGAGAGCTTTTGATTATTGTAACTGCATTTTATTTTGTAGTTCAACTTATTCTCTTTTATATTGATTTTTATACTTCCTTTAGGTATTAGGAAGAGAGATTAGTAAAATCAGACAAATAAAGTAAACTTTCTGCCCAATGCACAATTTTGAGTTAATGATGTCATCTTTATTGTAAAAAAAAAAAAATGCTTGTGGTCCATGGGGCAATCATCTGAGCAAGACCCCTAACAGGGCAATTTGGGTTGAGGGGAGAATGGAGCAAATAGGGGGTCAAAGAGCAGAACCCAGACCTTTGTCCTGGCCTCCCTCAGAGCACTCTGCAGTCTTCCCAATTTGATATAGTAAGTGTCATCATACAAATGAATGAACAGTCACACTCCTCATAGAAACCACGGTAATTAGTGCATTCTGGAAGGAACATCCACAACTTGTATCTCACCTACCTGTATGTGTTGGAGACAGATTGAAATATTTTTTACACAGTGCCTCACAGTCTTTTCTAAAGCTCTAAACAGCTTTTCTTCTCTGTTAAAGGTATTATCTTTCACCTAAAATATAAACGAAATTATTTATTTTCATAATTCAAAAGAATCTGATCCTTGAAAAAGAAAAAACAAGATAGATCATATTGGTCCAGCACAGTACACAAAAGTTCTTGTTTATATTGAAACCTTCTGTGATAGCCCACTATTGTAATGCAGTACTTCCCGGATGGGCACACTGCACATCTGATGTGCCACCAGTGTCACAAAACCACGTGATTCAGCTTTGTTGATTTTCACACAGCTTCAACTATGTCAGTTGTAAAATTTTAAGAATTTTCCCTGCAGTTTTTAATTATATTACTTTGTGGGTTTATAAAATAGCTAAATTTGATCTATGGACTAAAATGTATTGTTTTGCTCAGAAGACTCACACCAGTTTATTTAGAAAGTAAACCTCAGTCCATGGTTAAAGAACTGTGATAATTATCACTTTTAATTTGAAAGATGATATATAATCTCAGTTTCTCTGTGATAATAAATTTTCATAGTGATGATGGTGGTCACATTCAGTTAATTTTTGTCACCCTACATGTAATATCTATTAGCATTCAGAAAAGTATGTTTTTTTATATGCTTCTGGTGTTTGTTTTTTGAACCCCTGCTCATTGCTATTTCTTTTTTTTTAGGTGAGTGTTTTTAAAAAAATTTTTTTTAGTTGTATATGGACACAATATCTTTATTTATTTTTTTATGTGGTGCTGAGGATCAAACCCAGTGCCCCACCCATGTGAGGCAAGCACTTTGCCACTGAGATACATCCCCAGCCCTCATTGCTACTTCTTAGCAATCAAAATGGCTATAAGACAAGATCAGAACCAGTCTCTGGACTGGTGAAAGTCATGTGAACATGCAAATGTTCCATAGAACAGGGTGACTCTTGCTCAATTAGGCACTAGATAATAATTGTAGCTGTTTTGGTTCATATGTTTCTTGATTTCAGATCGTTGACCTTAGAGCTGTATAAATAGAAATCATAGCATTTTATTTTTAAACCTCTTAATATTGTTGATCTAGCAAACTTTTGAACAAATAGGTAATAGGGTCCTTTGCCATTCACACAAGATCCAACTCAGTTTGGTGTGCATAACAATATGCTGGGCCAGGTAGTCTTAAAGTCAGTTTTCAAGGTCACATTGCCAGATATTTTATTTTGTATATCTTGGCTGGAACCAGATGACTCTAAAGAGAGAGGTTTAAGGGTCACACTATGAGAAATATTGCCCAATTCTACTTTCCCATAACCAATCCTTTCTTGTGCTGTTTTGCTGGAATATGTTGCTGTCCTTTTTCTCCCTTATAAAACATTCTGTTTATTTTTAAGAACTAGCTCATATGTGACTACTTCCATGAGTTGTCCTTCCATTGCTCTTCTTTCCACTGTAGAAAATTAATTTCTCCCTCCTGTGTGCTCTAGTAATCCTAATTAATTAGTTACACAATTCTCTCTTCTGATGAATTTCTCTATGCCTTTCTTCCTCCTTCTCATTTTAATATTTATACCATACTGTGGGTTAGCTATTATGATAAATACCAGTTTAGAGATAAACAGCAGCTTCAGAAGGTGGCAGAGTCTGTTGACATTCTCCATTGTCCTTTTACTGATAGAACCCACACCTCTCATTTAAATAGGACACAGGGCTGACCTACTCGAGACAGTTCCAAGATTTCCTTGCAGCTAGCTCAACCCATGTAACTGTTTGGATGATTGAGTGTTTCATTTCTAAGTCTTAGCCTTGCAACATTGTCCTTGGAACTTGAATGAAGACATGGCAATGACCTAGCCTCAACCAGACAGATGAGACAATGTGTTTAGGAAAAGCACTGTGCTGAATTGGATAAACTGGATTCCTGAAGGATTTTATTAAGCAGAGCTTGTCTGCTCACATCTCAAGACTCTGATTACAGAAAGAAATAAAGGGCTACCTGACTTCAGCTACTATGTTTTGGAATCTCTCTGCGACAGATGCACAGCCTTTATCCTAACATAAGGGGTTAGAGAAACTTACCCCTGTTTATAGGTAAGATCAATATTCACACCCAAGCAGTCTGAATTCAGAACCTACACCTGTTCATCTTTGTATTCCCAATCTCTTATACAGTGCATGGTACATGAGAGTTCAATACATGTATGATGAATTGAATAGAATCTTCCTCTTGGGTAATAGCTTTAAACCCTAACTCTACCAATATTTCACCTGAGCTGCTGACAAGTGCAAAATTGATTGATTTGAGATTTATCTCTTCTCCAGTCCAGCCTATGCAGCTGATTTTCTGATTAACAGTGAAATGCTTCATTGCTGACAGGACATCCTCTAAAAAGATTAAGGAGGAAAATCTAATTAATATCCCTTCAGGCGACTTTAACTACAATTCACTTTTAGTTCACAATTGAAAAATATAAGAAGCTGATGATAAATATGCTAAAGAATATTTTAAAAGCTTGCCCCAAATTAGAACTTCCCCTATTGTTTCTCAATAGAATTGACTTGAGTCAGAAATAAAATCCCAAAGAGTGGGAAAGAAATGTTTATACCAAATGTATATATGCCTATAGGGCACAATAATGTCTTCTTAAATAAATTCCCAATTTGATTTTATTATTGTTGTCTTATTTGAAACATTCTAACTGTCCTTTCCTTTATCTGTTACCATAGACCATTAATGTCCCAAACTTCCCATATCAAAAGGAGGGGCCTCCCATATACAATCAACCAGGTGAACCCCTAGAAGGATAAAAGAAGTGAATACAAACCATGTATTCTAAAAAATGTACATGTTAACTATGGTATTGCATGTTGGCTATCATATGGTAAAGTCAATGCAGTCACCAAAGAAAATGAGAACAAGGCTTGGAAATAGGTCTCAGAGATCAGGTCATCACATGCCATACAGGGTCACAGGGGAAATACCAGGTTTTAGTCAAGTGGCAGAAGACAAGAGTGAAGAGAGAGAGTCTAGGCCAGAGTCTTTATTGGGGTTTTCTTGGGAAGTACAAAGCAGGACAAACTAAATGGGATTGGTTGGTTTGAATAATTCCCATGGGCTAAGGGTTATAGGACTGATCTCTCTTTACTTTGCATCTAGCTGTAGAATAAGTTAGGGCAGGAGAAGTACTGGTTCAGTGTGTGAGACTTAGGTGAGGATGTGAATGGAACCATGGGATGGGGTGATCTGAAAGTGAGAGTTGTTTGCCCATCTATTTGCTCTCAAAGAATTGCCTAGCCCTGAAAGGGGCGGTCTCTCCTAAATACCAGCAAGGTATTTTATGTCAAAACATTATAAAATACAGAAAGTAAAAAAAAAAAAACCACGATTAATACAGCATATATAAAGGAGTTTACCACCCTCGTGGGAAGTAAGATAGTTGAACAAAGGCAAATAATAATTTAAGACAACAATATAAAGCAATAATGCTGATAATTATGCTAATCTTGACAGCCAGTATATACTGTTTACACACTGTGTTAGGTGAATTCTTTATATATGAATCAATTCATTTAACAGTCACAACCTTTCCATGTGTCAAGTACTAGTGTAATCCCTAATTTACAGATATTCCATTAAATTTAAGCCATGTGCCCAAAGACAAATATTTATTAAGTGGCAGAGAACTTAATTTATTAAGTTCAAACAAAGATTTAGATAACTTCAAAGACCTTGCTCTTAACTTCTGCCCTATGCTGTCTCCTGCAAATATGAATCGTTTCAAGACTGCAAGCTAGACAGCAGATTTATTAGACACTTGAAGGATGAAGCCACTTCTACTACAAAGACTTAATGAAAGAAGGAAAAAAGACCACAGCAACTAAATAGTGAGATAGATCCATCCGAGTCCAATGCTAACCACCATAAAGTTACTTCTAGTTCAAACAAAACAATCTTACAGATGTTAAAATATTAAGTAATGAAAAAAAGCAAATGAGAAGGAAAAAAAATAAGGTCAAATATAGTGTGCCAAGAACTGTGCTTCCTAATTTCAACTAAAGTCCACTGCATGGTAATACAGTGGTGCCACAATGAGCCTTCTATCTTGTGATTCTCAAAGTGTGTTCCATTGATCACTAACTTCAAGGCAATTAGCTTCAAAACACCTGGAAAATTCATAAAAATTCAGATTTCTAGGTTGCACCCTTGAAGCAGGTGAAAGCCTAGAATCTGCCTTTCAGCAAGCTCCTCGGGTAATTCTTCTTAAGCACATTAAAGTGTAAGAGGCTTTGCTAATCCATCCATTATTTATTAGGAGTTGAGATGAAAGTGGTTCCAGCCAGGCTAAACAGCTGACAAAGAACAGTTATCCACGAATACAACATGCACCTGGGGAGTGGGGAGACAGATGATAAGGGGTAAGAAAACATCGCACTAACTCATGCATCTAAACCCTTCTTTTTTTTTAAATAGATGAAATAAAGATAAAATGAACATCAAGGGAATCCTAAAGGAAAGCGAGATTTTTAAAAGCAGAAATAAAGTAGAGATGGAAGGAGGAGATTGCCTTGAGGGAGCTTATGTGCTGGTTGATAGTGAGTGTCAGGACTCCTGAGGCATCCCTGTGCCCCATGTCATCACGTCCTTCTTTCTCCTTTGCCTCCGCAGTGGAAGCATCACAGCTAAGGTAGTGTCAAAACCACCCCAGCCATACTCCAAACCCCGTTTTCCCCCAGGAGAGGAAAAAAAGGAAGAGCATAAGGTAATTGACTTTGATTCTCCACATTCTCGATATAACCCCGGTAGCAAGAAAACAAAAACCCCACAAAAATGTCAGTGTTCATGTTCCCTGGGGAAATGTAGGTGGTCCAAAAAGAAAAATTACCTGTGATTCTCCTCTGGTCAGAATCTTTAGATGATTTGTCACTCGTTTTGATTTCTTGCTAATTGAATGAATATTTAGTTTGGATAATTTGTCTTTAAGAGATTCATCCTCATCATTCTTCTTGTATTTTAGAACTGAAAGAAAAAAAAAAGGATGCGATGACATATCCGAACATGTGCAGCACACGTTTCACTCAGAGTTTTCAAAGTCCATATTTATATTCAAGATAGAAATCTATATAGGTTTTGATTCTCTTCTGCAGACGCCATACACTCCTGCCCAGTTTGTCCCAGGCACCCCACTCTCCTGACCTTCAAAAACAGCCCATTCAAGGACATGACTCCTCAAGGTCCAAGATGAATTTATCTCCCACATTCAATAAATCCCCAATCCTAGAGAAAAACCTTTAGCTCTCTTCTCGGATAACATGTCTATTATCTGAGACCTCCAGGATGGAGACTCTGGCCCTAAATGATGACAACTGCATTCATCATAAGGCAATCTCAGAAGCTGAAGGGACTCTTCCCTCCCTGCGAGATTTGGTGCAAGTTGAATAACCTCTGAGCTTTACTTATTTACCTTTCAAATCATTTTCAATTCTCATGTTGTTCAAAATGTTAATATTCCTAACATCCATGTTGGTAAGGGTGTAGGAAGATGGAAAATTGTATCCACTGCTGATGAGGATTAAACCAATGCAGTTTTTGTAGAAAAGAGTATGGTAGCATCTAACAAAAATGAAAATATTTGTAGTCTCTGACCAGAAAGTTCATGCAGATAAATCTGCTTTCCATAATCGAACATATGAAATTTTGTTCTATTTGTTGCATCTTGTTTTCCCCATCAATGAGATATTGGAAACAAAATCTAAATGCTTATTCACAGAGCAGGAGTTTAACAAATGATAGTACATTCAAAATTGGGATAGTATGGAGCCAACAAGAAAGGCATATAAACTGGAAGAATGATACGAAGTTTCCAGAAACAAAAAGCAAACTGTAGTACCATTCATGCTGCTGAAAGCAAAGAAAGAAGAAAAGAGAGAATCTGAAGAAAATGTAATAAAATATTTGCTTTACAAAGTGGAATCACAGGAGTGGGAAACTTTTACTCTTTAAGACTTTGAAGTAGTTTAAGCAAACAGAAACATATAAAAAGTAACATAACAGTTTTTTTTAACCTCCCAGCTATGTCAATTATTAATATTTAATCATTTACAATCTTTTTAATTTTTAAAAAAATTACCTAACAATTGAGGCCTGATCCCCATCTTTGATCTTTAAAGGGAATTGTTAGCCTAAATAATGGATAAGAATTATTTTGGTATCTATTTTGTATTCTTTTACTGCCTTATGTGTGGAATTGATACCATATATGGTATTATTTATAAAAATGGTAACATATTGAACATATTCTTCTCTCAATTGCTAAGTTACTTTTTTTAAACTCAAGATTGTGTTGTTGAGATTAATGCAATTATACATAGTTTTATTTCATTAATTCTTATGATCTTTTCATAGTAGAAAATACACAGTTTCTCCATTACTCTGAATAATTACATAAACTTTTAAATGATTTTATGAACAGTGTTATAACTAGTACATATTTGAGCCCATGGACAAGAATTTCTCTAGGAAAAATTCCTAGAAATTTATTTTCTGGGTCTCTGGTGTGTACATCTACAACTATAGTAGATACTGTCAACTTTTTCTCTAAGGTGGTGATTCTCATTTATGTTCTCAGCTGCAAATTGAAATGCAACACTCAGCACATAACATTATCTGTAAAAAAAAAAATGGTTTTTTTTTGGTCAATCTGTTGGATTGGAGTGGTGTTTCACTGTGATTTTAATTTTCATTTCCTAATGATTAGTGAAGCCAAGGATTATAATATTACTTGGTCTGTCTGTGAATTTATTTTTATTATTAACCTTTTTTGCATTATAATTTTTACTTTTGATTTGACATTAAAAATCACAGGGCTGGAAGTGTGGCTCAGTGGTAGAGTACTTGCCTAGCATGTGTGAGGCCCTGGGTTCAATTCTCAGCACCACATATAACTAAGTAAAATAAAGATCCATTGACAACTAAAAAAAAATTAAAAATTAAAAACCACAAATTCTAGTCAGTAATCCTTGAGTGCTAACTTTTTATTCACTTTTGGTGCCTTTTACTCTGAATTTTCACTTATATTTTATGTGTTTCTTTATGATTTTAATTTATTAATATAAATATATTACCAGAAAATTAAATCACTTAAAACAAATAAACTGGTTGGGTCATTGAAATCTAAAGTACTGTCATTGCTTTAATGTCAGATTGAGATTTCATATTAGAATTAAAAAGTCAGTGAAAAACTTTATGGAAAGAAATCACATTGGGGAAGGACCCAGGTCTATCCAAATCACTGCTACTTCTGGAATATACAGGGACCATGAAATATCTCCTGTTTTGAAATTTACATTTTATATCAGACTTTAATTTTATATCTTAGCTTAAAAATGGCTAGCAATCATTTATTGATTCCAGTCAGACATATACTTGCTTCTATCAAAAGAGCAATTATTGTCCCCAAATCTCCATTCTTTGTGTGGCAGGACCAGATGAAAGAACTAGATGGGTTTCTTCATGCAGATCTGTTCCTATTTCAACCAATTCTGACACTACCTCCCCATGGCTATAGTACCTGGTCATGTCACCACACAGACCTTCACTGATAAGACCGTATGTTTGGGGTATCTTAAGTTCACAATATACCACCAAGACTGCAGTGATCAATGAGGCTGAGTAGTTGAGCAGAGCTGTATGATTTTTGGGGGGTTGGGGTGGGGTTTTTGTTGGTAGTGGTGCATGATCTTCTGAACCCAGTAGGAACCACATATTCTCTTCCCAAATCTCTGAGTCTAGATTTCGAATGATCTTGTTCACTGCAACTGCTGTAACCACTCAGACAATGTGATTTTCAGAATATAAACAGAGCAGTCATGTAAAACACCCAATCGATCATATTCTTCCTACCTAAATCTTTCCTTCTCTTAAATTCATTGATGTTCACATTAATGTCCTTCACAGCGGCAAAGGCATCCTCCAGTGCTCTGTAATCTGGGTGAGAAGGAGGGGTAGAATTCCAGAGTTCGCACAGTAACAGGGGATATTTCATCACACGCTGAATTGGTTTGATCATCAAAGAGCCCATGTCCAATAAGTTTGATTTGCCTCTATAACAAAGATAAATATCAGTTTTACAAACACAATGTGGTTTTCCATGACAACCAAGAAATATGCATTTTCCTTATAGTATATCTGTGATCAGCAAGGAAAATAGGCTCATTATTTAAAAATCTAAACAGATGTCTTGGCAAAGTATGGTCAAAAGAAAATACTGTCCTCTCTCTTCAGATTGAGATGTTGCATTTACAGTGTTTCAGAGGTGCCATCACAGTTTCCAAAAGAGATTGATAATAAATATAACAGTTCTCTAATTATTATTATTACCATCGCTATCCCTAAACATTGCTATCACACAGTGACCTTCTGTTTGAAATTCTTTGCCAACAGATCTTCAGGAACTTCACAAAAGTGAGCACTCATGCCTGACTTTTTCTTTGGGTGCTTCTGAGATGAGAGCAGAGCCATTGCACTGAACAGGCAAGTCACAGGAGGAAAAGTCCTATAAGTTTGGTCAAGCTACTGTCCAGCCCACTGCCATTGATCCTTCACCCAGAAGGCAGGGATTTCTAAAAGCCTCTTTATGCAAACAGTATATTTCTTATACACTGTTTTCAAATCCCAACAAATGGATTTTTCATACTTCTATTTTTTGAGGGGTGGGGGTTACTAGGGATTGAACCCACAGGCCCTTAACCACAGAGCCACATCCCACAACCCCTTTTTATTTTATTTTTAAATTTTGAAATAGGCTTTGCTAAGTTGCTTACGGTCTCACTAAGTTGGTGAGGCTGGCTTTAAACTTGTGATCCTCTTGCCCAGCCTCCCAAGCATGTGCCACTGTGTTTGAATTATATTTCTGTTTTTTAAAGTACTCATATGGGTAATCAATATGCCACATAATTTGAAAAGTAGAAGGAGTACAAAAATGTTAAACAAAATTAGAAAAGCTGTATCATTAGAAAAGGTCTGAAGCACCCATAGAGACCATCTAATTCAACCCTTCACTTGAAAAATGAGAAACCACAGAACCTCAATTGTCAAGTGTACATGCACACCTGCATATACATGCACACACGTAGGCACACAATATACACACACCACTCACTATTCCATGTCCCAAGTTGATTTTCATCTTAGCACTTATCACTCTCTGGAGTTATCTTGTTTCTTTATTTATCAGTTTATGATAAACTTTTCTGTGGCCACTGTGTCTCCCCCAGGACCTACCATGTTCTCACAATGCATAATTGTAGTCTGAGAAATGATAGAGTTTTCATATTTTCTGTAATGTGCTTTTATATTACATTGAACTTCTCATCCCTTAATTTCACAATGGTTGAATAAATGAGGCCTTTTATTCACATTCTGAGAATATTATAATAGCATAACAGAGACTAACTAACTAACTAACTAACACTAACTAAAAGGCAACATTTTTAAAAGTCAGGAAACATCAAAAGTTTGCAAGGGAGTGAACAATTGCCTTAATATACTTTATCTTGTATTTCCTACACATTTAGAAACGGATGAAGGAAGGTAAGAAAAGAATGACAGAGAAAAAGAGCATCAGAGATGGAAGAGGGGAAAAAAGACTGATTATTGGTTTTCAAAAGAAATAAGTGAGATGAATTAAAAAATGTAAATAAGTATGGATACAGAAAAAAAATAACTAAGAATCTTTTCTAACTGATGGCATTTCAGTAACAGAATCTTAAACATGAAGGACAGCATTTTCTTACATATATCTAAAGCATAGATTTTTCAGGAATACATTTTACACACTTAAGTAAAATAAGTAAATAATTAACTAAGGAATGTGGAAGTTAAATAAGTAAGTTAAATAATTAGTCAGGAATGTGGAAGATACTAACTGGATTAGAGAGAATTATATATATATATATATATATATATATATATATATATATATGATTATGATTAGAATTTCTTCTGAAATTTTTCTTTGATTATTGCCAAAATTAATTTATTTAGTGTGCTATAAATCACTAACAATACTATAAAAATATAAATATAATCAGATAATTCAATGAAAGAAAATCCAACTTTAATAAAATAGTTCACTAACATGGTCTATTGTTTTATATACACACAAATACAGTTACATATATAAACACATCTATTTTTAACTTTAAAAAGTGCCCAAAGCCCAAATGAATTAAAGGTTGTATTTGCACCTCTCAGCTGCCCTCCTTTCTCCCTTATCTATATCTGTCACCAAACCCAACCCAGGTCCTTTAGTTGTGTCCAAATGTTATCATTACTTCTTTTCCATCACTCTTCGGCATCAAAGTTCTATTTTCTCACCTTCATGTTTCAAATGACAATAATCACAATTATAAATGGTTACTGTTTCCTTTAAAATCATCATAGATACAAGACTTAAAATGTCTTTCTCAAAAATGAGAAATTTCCCAGGCACTTTTGTCTTCACACTTACACTGTGCACAGTTGCCCAAGTGATGAGAAACGATGTTCCAATATCTACATCAGACAGACAAGCAATATGGTAGAAGTGATAGAGGATGCGTTGTAAGATAATGACACTCCAAGCATTCAGTGTCATAAAGTTCACCTGGCCTAATCCCACCTAGTAGGATTAAGTTTTGATAACCATGTGAAGCAGATGAGTCCTGTGTGTGATATAAACGACATCAGCCAGGAATCCATTTATCACCTGCTTGCCCCACAGTAAGTAACCAAATGTGTAACAATTCCCCATATTGGGTTGAAATCTAAGGTAGTTATTAATTTGCAATTCTATTTCATCTTCTTTTGCCTTATCACACATACTTTGGCAAGTATTTCATGCCATAAATAGCTACACTAATCTCATTACAAATTATTATTGGAACTTTTCAAAGTGAAATAAACACAGCTGGCTTTGTTTTAGCAGCATCTAGTTTTGTTGCAAAGAGCTGCACATCAAGTACAAGAAAAAATGTGCAATGAAAATATAAATGACATTTAAAAATGTATAAACTATAGCAGAAAAGTGAGAAAATGTCAAATTTTCAACATGAGGAATATTTGTTTTTTAATTACAGAAAAAAGGAGAAGAAAAAATATGTACTATACCATACTTTCAATTTTCTCTATTTCATTGACCACAATTAGCCTATTTAATATTTGTTTTACAGTAGCCACACCATCTATATAATCACTCATCTTTGTGCTTTGTGTGTGTGTGTGTGTGTGTGTGTGTGTGTGTGTGTGCCAATTTATTCTCCTTTTAAAATGTGAGTCAATGTTAAGGGAAACTGTGTACTGAAACTGTATATACAAATAACAAATAGCATTTGCTAGAAATAAATAATAACTGAAAATAAACACAGAATTATCAGCAAATTTTAAAAGATGAATGAAGATGAATGAATGATAACTGATATACAGACAAAAGAGAGCCAATGTTTAATCATTCCCCAAAAGTTCATTAATTAAGGTCACTAAATACCCATGGAAATGGGGAGTAAAGGATTGGGTATCAAAATAAGGATCAGCCTAAAACCTGTTTCAGAAACTATCTAATTCTTAGGGTGCTATAAAAATAAGAGAGATCGTTTTAAGGACTAAGAAAGAGCCCTTAAAAATTAAAAGAAAAATAATATTTAAAAAACCTCTCACAAACGTCAGAATAAAAAGTCCATGGATTTTCCAGAAGAGCAGAGTAAAAATACGAAGGGATAGAAAATATGAGAAAAGTAGAGGACAGGCTTAGGGAATCAATATCTAATAACAGGGTTCACCAAAAGAGAACAGAACAAATATAACCAGGAAGTCATCAGTGAAATAATTTAAGAGAAGTGCATATTTTAGCACGTTGTGAAAGAATTCACGAAGTGTCCAGAACAAAGGATGAGACACAACCATACCTTGGAATTCATGAAACTTCAGAAAATTGGACACAACCCTTGATAGAAACAAATGGGTACAAAGAGATGACTAGGAATCAGAATAAGTTTCTAATTTCTCATACTAACACTGAAAGCAAGAAAATAATGAAGAATTACCTTTAAATTCTGAAGATCAGTGATTCTCAATTTAGAATTCTGTATGAAACCAAACTCTTAATCAAGTGTGAGGGTAAAATAGACATATTTTGGTACAAAAGTTCATAAAATTTTATTTCCTTTGAGGTCTGAAGGAAGCAGAGGATGTACTCCATCAAAATCAATATAGGAAAGAAGGTAAGAGAAGCTTGATGATAATGAGGAGGGTCCCTGGAAGACAGTTGTGCCCAGTGTCAGCAATCCAAACTCAGAAGGCCTGAAGGCTTTAGGAGAGGCTTTTTAGAGAGACAAAATTGATACCAGACATAATGCATCTGGTTGTCTTGGATGATGACTTAGTTAGCTGGTTTTGAGTTTGTTATCAATGATTTGTACACAGAAAACTGAGATGAAGAGGAAGAAGAGAAGGAGTAAGAGGAGAATCAACAATTGTCAACTCTCAGGAAAACAGTAATTAGTTAGTTGACTCCAAGATTTAACTCTGTAAGGTATCCAGATATGATAGAATAACTCAAACACGGATTATTGCTTAGCCAAATTATACAGAGAGGATGCAGAGTTGGGAAGGGAGCACGTATGTGTGTGTGTGTTGAGATGGAGATAGAAAGACAGATTCTTGTCTTCTATGAGGGAAATTCAATGGATAAAACTTGACTAGGAAAAAAGTTAAGCATGCTTTTAGAGTCATAAAGATAAATATCAAAATAATCAGCTAAAAGACACAAAAATAATGTGTCCTACTAAGGAGCATTTATGAATGTTATGGTTTGGATGTGAGGTGTCCTGGCAAAAGCTCAAGTGTGAGACAATGCAAGAAGGTTCAAAGGAGAAATGATTTGGTTGTGAGAGTCTTAACCCAATCAGTGAATTAATCCCCTGATAAGGATTAACTGAGTGGTAACTGAAGTGGTAGGGTGTGGCTGGAGGAGGTGGGAATTGGGGCGTGGCTTTGGGGTACATATTTGTATCTGGCAAGTGGAGACCTCTCTCACTGCTTTCTAATTGTGAGCTGGTTCCCTCTGCCACACCATGCCATGATGTCTACCTCACCTTTAGCTCCAAGGAATAGAGCCTGCTGTCTATGGACTGAGATTTCTAAAACCCGTAAGACCTCAAATAACTTTTCCTCCTCTACAGTTGTGCTGGTCATGTCATTTAGTCATAACAGTGAAAAAGCTGACTAAAACAAAGAAAGGACTACCATTTTTCATAGCAAATCTTATAAAACTATTTTACTCTTAAAGTCATGAGTATATATCATTTGGAGGGGGGGAGAAAGTTTTTTAAAAGAGGAGAAACATAAGAACACTTAGAAAAATTTATGAAAAATTAAAGTACTGAGTTGAGACTAGTCATACCTATTAAAATGCAAAAATGAAAGCAATTTGATCCTGATACATATATGAACAAATGAGTAGCAAAAACTAGAAAATCCAGAAATATATGTAAGTATGTATGGACATTGAGTACATGGTACCTGACATTTCTATTCAATAAGAAAATGTATTATTCAGTATCAAGGATAAATAGCTAGCCATATAAAAAAATAAAAAACAGATTCCTGCATCATTCTTTACACCAAAATAGTTGCCAGGTAGATCAAATATACAATTGTTAAAAATGAAACCATAGCGGGGCTGAGTGTAGCTCAGTGATAGAGTGAATACTTAGCATGCAGGAGGCCCTAGGTTCAATCCCCAGCACCAAAAAGAAAGGAGAAAAGAAAAAAGATATAAAAAAGAAACCATGCAAGAAAGTGAAGAAAACATGAGATTCTACTTTAAAAACTAACCTTGGAATCACTAAGCAATACATAAAATCCAGAAACCACAATACAAAAAAAAAAAAATAGCGATTAATAAATGTTTTAAAATTAAGCTCTGAAAAACCATACAAATAAAAACAAAGCAGAAGCAGCCACAAACTATGTTAAAGATCAAATAATAAGATGGAAATATGTTTATAGTAAGTAATAAAGCCTTAATATACTTGCTAATCAAGGAGACATTAGAAATCTATTAGAAAAAGAACATCTCAAAAAAGGTGTAAACCATTTAAAAAGATCATTAGCAATGAAACACAAATGGCTAAATACACATGAAAATGTTCAAGATTGTTAGTAATGCAAATTAAAACAACAGATTACCATTTTTAGCCTGTTACATTATCATAGGATAAAGATACAAATATGAATTATATCTAGTGTTGTCCAGTAGTGGATAAATGGATGACTCACATATGAATAATGGGAATATAAATTAGCTCACAAATAACTTTTTGAAATTTTCTGACAAGCATCAGAAGTCCTTTGATCTAGCAATTCCATTTTCAAAAATGCATCCTAAACCAGGCAAAGTGGCACACGCTTGAAATCCCAGTGACTTGGAAGGCTGGGGCAAGAGGATCAAAAGGTCAATGCCAACTACAACAATTTAGCAAGATCCTGTCTCAAAATAACAACTGAAAAGGACTGGGGATGTAGGTGGGTGTTCAACACTCCTGTGTTCCATCTCCAGTACCAAACCAAACCAAACCAAACCAAATGCACTATTAAAAAGAAAATCATACTATTGTAAAAACATCATGCATAAGAGTGAACATATAACATCAATGTTTATAACACAAATAATTCTACCATGAGTAAAAGTTTGGTAAACTAAATTATGGTATACCATATTTATATCATATATATATATATATATATATATATATATATATATATATATATACACACACACACATCATAATTTAGTGTATATTTGAATATATTAGTGCATATAATATATACCAGAGAATATTATACAGTTATATAAATATTAATTTGTATTTACTGACATGGAAAGATGCCCATGATGAATTTATGGATAAAGCAGCAGGCTGATATACAGGAAATAAAAAAATGGTCTTATTTTACTGTGTGTGTGTGTGTGTGTAAAGAAAAAGCTGTAGTGAAGTGATAGACATTGCAGTGTTACAGTGATCATCTCTGGAACATGACTACCTATTATCTTCATTGTACTCACTTGTATTTTATTTATTTTACAATATTGCTCCAATAATTTTAAAAATAAAAAGAGAAAATAACCTATATCATTTTGAGATTGGTAGGAACTGTGAGAACCAAAGATGGGAACCTATATAGCAAGGGGCAGACAAGAAACAAATAGAAAAGAGCAAAACCATGGAAATAACAAAGCACTGTATCTCAATTTTCTTTCTTGTTTTAGAATGTGGGACCTGGATCAGATGCTTTCTTTATGGAGGATTCTACAATTCTTGTCAGTTTAATGATGTCTTTGATGTTTATGTAAGATTATAATTCAAAGTAAACAGTTTAGAAACATAATTATTTTTTTGAAATGCAGATTGTAGGAAAAAACAGGCAGTTTTCTCTTGGCATGTGTAAGGTGTTTCTTGGATGCCATTAAAAAGCCCACATCTTTCCAGTGAACTCTCGACTGCAGCATGCCTGGCCTTTGCCACGAAGGAGCCCAACAATTACACAGCACTTGACATTGCCTTTTACCCTTTCCTGTAGCAGCATGTGTGCTTCATGACCCTAGTGAGGAGAACAGGAGGAAATAACTTGAGGCGAACTTGACTTTGATTTCCAGCCAGCCACATGCTGGGATTGCTCTTCTCTAAAGATGTATAGAATAGGCTAGAGAGGGCATAACCAACTGGACTAACTCCTACACAGCAGGATTGCTGCGAAAACTTGGCAGTTTTTTAAGCAAGGGTTTCAATACAATGCATTGTTTTAAGTATTCTGTCTGAGGGAGCCTGGGCATGCTAACGGCACCAGGAAGGATATTTTCCTTTTCCTGCTTCGAATCTCCCTTTCTGTCTCTCCTCTCTATCTTGTCTTTTGGTTATAAAGATCTAAATTGTAGGAAAAGAAACCTTAATGGAATTTTGGGCACATGAAATTTTTCTCTAATATCCAGCTCTGTTGAAGCTCTAGTCTTTGGCACAATGACAAGGACACAGGCTTTATAATGAGGCAGCTGCCCTGCCCTAACCCCCATCATGTATCATTAAGGGAAGCCCTGGAGCCTTCTGATGTGTGAAAGAACCAAAATAATCTTGCCCATATGCAAATTCAAATAACCTAAGAATTGAAAACATAAAACAAATATTGAATTATCCTAAAACATATATTTTCTTTATAATAGAGAAGACAAATGGGTGCCTGTTTGACACCTGAAAAGAACAGCTTCCTCACTTGGGTGAGACAGACCAACAGGTTGGCCTAAGGGCCTGATTCCTCCACTCATTTCTGTAATTCTGACTTTCTTCAGGGTTGCTTTGTACCCTACTTTGAATGACAGATATTTATGTCTTAAATTGATATGATTTCCATTTTGTAAATTTTGTATTTAATGTAACACTTAGAAGTTTAAAATTCTGTCTCTTTTAAACACCCCCCCCACACACACACACACACACTCTTACACTGACAAGCAAACCAGATGAAGACTCTCAGAGAGTCCCCGACTATGGTGACACAACATGTGCTTTTTAAAGTCCTGGTAAATTTGAATGGAAATTTATATCACTATCATTGTTTCAGTCATTAACAGGTTAGAGACATATTTTTTCTAGAAAAGTATACATCTTCCAGAGTTAGGTCGTTTTTATAAAATGACTTCTATGTTATCCTATTAGCCAATTATTTCATTGTAACATTTCAAGACTATGCCATATGAGTATAGGCTTTTTTCTCTCTAAATCATACAAGAGTCCAAAATAAAAGAAACTCAGTATTTTACTATAATGCATAAGGAAGTTTTTCATGTATATTAATCTTTGAAGCCTTCAAAAATATTATGGCATTAATCTGAGATTTTAAAAAATCTTTTTAGTTGCAGATGGACATAATACCTTTATTTATTTGCTTTTATGTGGTGCTGAGGATAAAACCCAGTGCTTCACATGTGCAAGGCAAGCGCTCCTCCACTAAACCACAAACCCAGCCCCAAATCTGAGATTTTTTAAGACTAATGTCCTTAGGAAGAATTGTTTCTGGACCCAACAATACTCTTAAATATATGTATGATTAGTATTGCCCAAGACTTCCTGGCACCAGCAAACTTATTTAAATTACATACAAGAATTCTTCTAAAAAGGTTAATAAAATATATGTAATAATTTAACATGCAAGATAATCTCAGATAAGTAAATTGGAAATAATGTAAAGTTTAAATTAGATGCACCAAAAATGTTTAGGTAAATGACTTTGCAATCTTGACTTATCTATTAAAAGTAATAAATTTAATAATACGCTTCATTGTAAAAACTAAAAATTTTGATTTGGATAGGAATATTCAGTAGCTTTTCCCCATGACTTTTATATTTGATTTCTGTTACTTTAAAAAATGTTCTTAGCATAACCATTGCCTCTAACTGCCCTGTATACGTGTATACACAATCTATACATGTATCAAAACATCAAACTATACACCATAAATATGTATAATTACAAAGTGTTGATTAAAAAAAAGTACTTACTCTTGCACATATATTTTCCTGTAAGAAAGAGAGAAAAGTAGATTCATGTAAATCCATACATTTGAGGTATAAGTCAAACATTACAAAACCTTTAAAATTTTATTATGTAAAATAAAGTACTAAGTAATTTTCATGAATGACCTATGAAATTAATCCCCTTGTTTGGTAATTAGGTCCCTAAAGTTTTATCTTATTATATTTACCATATGCTTCACACTTTGTTTAAAATTTAAAACTGTTGATTCAGACACAGTAAATTTTGATAATTCAAAAATGGATTTAAATCTAAATTTTTGTTTACATTATGAAAATGTGATCTAGTAAAGTGATGGAAGAATCCAAGACTGCAAGATTAATAAGGAAATGTGTAACTGACTTCTAAATCACTATCAAGTCATCTTTACTATCTCTCCATATCTAGTTTTATGCAGATTCTGAATAATTTGCTTATTTAATGAATAATTCTCAAAAAGCCTTCACTAATCTGGATTCTGTGGTTTCCATTTTGCTCAAGAAAAACTGAAGTCCTCCAATGGAAAAGCAATACGTGGTCTGCCTCTCCTTCCATCTCCTCTCTACCCTTGTCTAGTATTTACCTCTTCCCCCAGTCTCTGACAGCCACACCGGCTCCTTGATTCTTCTAAAGCCTGCCAGGTGTGTGACTCCAGGTCTGTGCACCTTGTCCCTTCTGCCTGGGTTGCTCTCGCTCTGGGGAACAACTTTTACTTACTCCTTTATCTCTTTCAGGTTTTTGCTCAACTGTCCCTTCTCCATGAAGCTTTTCTTCACCAACCTTTAAGAAAGTGCATCCTGCCTCACACTGTGCTCCTTATCATCATTCCTGGCTTTCTTTTTTCTTCCCAATAGTTGTTACTTTTTCATATACTATGTTACTCTCTTATTTATTATCTATCCCCTCCCTCAACCCTATACATGAATTTATGCTTGATTTGTTCACGGCTGTGACCCCAATCCTAAAAAGTGACTGGCATTTGGTAAGAGCTCAAAAGATTTGTCAAATTAATTAGTTAGCAAAATAGACAGGAATTTTTTCCTCTGAAAACCACATCTGGCTATCGAGAAATTATATAATAACCTATGTTCATACATTGACCAACAYAGCCTCTGGTTTTCAATATCTTCATCTATTTCAACCAACTAACCTAAATATTTTAACACAAATTAAAAATTGTTTTTAATGTAGTATAACAATTGATAAAAAGGATCCTGATAAATTTTCCCAGTAGGGGAACCTACAGTCTATAGGGCAGGGCCACGGCATTATAACATCTCCTTTTTAATTACTCATTATTTTAAGCTATCTTACTTGAGGTGAAAATCTGCAAAAGTTAATCCCAGCCAAGGACAATTCAGGATGGAAGAACTTAAATAATGTCCAATTATCCTTTGATGGGACAAAGTAATTTAATATCCCTATCCCTGTTCCTGCTCCCTCATAGGCTTGGTGCAACTTGACTCAAGAAAGTTTTTATGTGAAAATTCCTTAAGGATTATAGTCTTGTTTCAAACTTGATGCCATATAACAAGAAACTGAAAGAATTTCCAAAMKTGCTTTTATTTATTTTTTTACTTGGAACATTCCAAAAGCATACAATGTGGTGAATATATTGAAATGCATTCCTTTAGATTTTGTATCACATGAGCTTTTACCTTCTCTGAATGGAGAAGCTACAGGAGTAACACAAGCGAAGTATCCAGATACTAAAAGTTTGTCATTTATTTCTTTTTCTATTACAAAATAAACAGATCTGTGGGGTCTCTCAAATGCAAAAGGAGTATTAATAGTGTTTATATCTGGAAAAACAGAAAAAGGCGGCAGCAGACAGGCTATTCTAATTATAGCTCTGCTTGCATTTATAGTTAATCTATTTTCACTTTCCTCATACAAATCAAAAACCTTAAATAACCTCAAAGAGTCTAAGTAATCAGATCTTTGGCAAACAACTTCCAGACCTTTAGAGCCTGTATTAACCCAGTGTTGCACACAATCTTAGGGATCATTAATGCCACTCTGTGAATAYTTTGAGTAAATAAAAACTTGCAAATTTCTGATTTGTATGCTGCAGATACAGATGTGCACTGTACTTCTGAATAGTTTTAAAGTCTTTCTAAAGGTCTCCAAATTCCAAAGATTTTGCTTAGATTGCATCTATAAAGATGAAAAACACACTCATCTGCTTCAGGAAAAGCAGCCAATGAGCACTGTGGGCCTGAGTCTGAGTTATCTCTTTAAAGTAGCTCTTGCTTGTGTGCCAAAAACTACCTGAGGGTGCTCATTAAAGATACAGATCCTGGATGGGCCACCAGCAATCCTATTTGTTTGGGCTGGGGTGGGGGAAGCATAGGAAACTGCACCTTTAAAATAGATTCCCAGTGGATCTAGTGCAGGGGAACTCAGACACAAAAAATGCTACCCTCACATTTCAAAAAGATTCAAAATTATTTTCTGGATACTAATATTATTTTCCCTTYTGAATGACAATGGACTTCAAAGAATAACCAAAGATTATGAGCTTGAATCTATTACAGAAGCAGGCAATATCTCTGCCATCCTTTTGGAAATTAGTCATGAACTGTACCCCCTGTGAGAGCTTCTGGTACGTTACTTAAAGTAACTCTTGCGTTGTTATTAAACTTCCCAGAGGTTTTGTTTATCTCCCCAACTAGAGTTTGTGTTCCTGGGAGGCAAGAACTATGCTTATGCATTTAAAAATAAAATATTTTCAACATTATCTAGTGTTCTTAATAAATATTTATTAGRCCTTCAATAAACACATTTTAATTTTGGTTAAAGTGCAACCTAAGATGCTTTAAAATCCACTTTAGCTTCTGAAGCTTGAAGCTATCTCTCTCGTGGATATTGCTTCAAACCAAGTTGTTCCAAATATTCCTTTTCATGGTAGGAAATAGAGGCTGCACCTAATATTCATTAGAAATGGCAAATGCACTTGGGTTCTGTTATTTAGCCACTAGGAAAAGACAGAGTGACAGTAATAGCTTTGACTGATTACTTGGCAAGGGAAACCAAGCCCTCAGGGTGTTCCAGACTCTCTTTGGCCTATAAACCTGTTTGAAAACCTGTTTCTTAGAATTTAAGGCTTAGCTCAATTGAGGTCAGTATTATAGTRATATCAATAATTCTACTGCTCTTAGCCTTCAGGCAGACCAGCACAATTCATCATTAACTTTATTTTCATGGAAAGGCAACWTTTTGGAAAATAGCTCTAACTTAAACTATTTTATTTTGATTTTATTTCCTTTAAGAAATAGTTCTGCCAATATTGCTTCCTTTGGATTTTTTTGCTTTCTAAACCTTAACACCTTCCAGGGACTGAAATTCTTCCTTCAAACCAGAATGGTTCTGAATACACAAAATTTGGGGCATGAAGATAGAAATYGACAATAACTCAAAGATTTCAGAAAAAGACCAAATAAGTCATTGGGTCTGKAAGCTATTTTCAATCATTGGCATAGGAGTTTTCAAAATTACCTCTGCCTTGAACTGCTTTTTAGGGGCATGACACTGAGCTGCTATATGACCTTGTGGATACCTGGGCAGGGATTATTGCTTTCTCTTAGAAGTCAATCATTTAATGAACAATARATTATTGTTCATCCTCCTAAAAACAGCTCTACTTCCTATGAGCAGTCAGAAGTAACATGGCTAACGTAGATTAACCATATCTYCAGATGAGAACCTCCATCTCAGGAYTGGATTTACCATGATGGTACAAGGAGCTGGCTTTTCATTTGCTAAGAGATTTCTCTCTTCTAATTCTGGAAACAGAAGAAGGAAAATGGTTCAAGATAGACATTTATTGGATCAGATCTTTCCATTTGTTTAAGCTAAAGAAGGGGTTCATTCATATCCAGAACATCATTATTTTTCCTGAGGAAAAAGCACCTATAACTTTAGAAGACTTTGATCTTTATATGTAAATTTATTAAAATGAATGCAACTTCAAACTTTAATGCTTTTATGGATTGATATACTAACACTGAACTAAAGTGAAAATAGAATTAGTTACAACATTTTATTTAAGAATTGTCTGATCATATTGAGTTTCTTGTGGATAGAACATAAAGTCTTATTTATTTTTGTTTTTTGACAGCCAGACCTATCCTTGCCACAGCATAAGCACCAAATAAATTTTCACAATTTAGATAGATGGGCAGAGACTAAAGAATGGTAATTTATTACTGGCCAGTAGAGGGCAATAAAATTGAGATTGCATTTATTTATTTGTTTGTTTGTTTATTATTTAAATTCACGGGGCTCTAGTTAAACCCATTTTCAGATCTGTTCCTATCTTGGAAAGACTTCCTCTACAACAGTCTCATTTCACTTTAATGCTGCTACAAACTTTCTGTGGTACATTAGGACCCCTCCTCTTCTTCCCACCCCACACAACAGAATAGCAAGGGAAGTGTGCTGGAGTCAGATTGGTATACAATGGTTTTTAATCAGCTCTCTCTGGTTGGTTAATCCCTAGCCAAATCATGGTCATCCAACAGTGGGTAATCCTTAAAAATGAAAAATCACAAGAGAATTCTKGGTAAGATTGTGGACCAAGAGAATAATTTCAGTCTTAAGCTTCATATGGTAGGAAACTATGAATAGACAGTTGCCAATTTCTTCTGAAAGGATCAACCCAAATATAGGCTCATATTTATGCATATAAAAATCAGAAGAAAATGTAAACGGTACTTATTAATTGATGGTGAAATAGTTAAGACTTTAAAAAATACTTATTCATACTTGCTTATTTTTTAAAATTATTTTTTAGTTGTGTATGGACTCAATGATTTTATTTGTTTTTATATGGTGCTAGGATTGAACTCAATGCCTCACACTTGCAAGGCAAGTACTCTACCACTGAGCTACAACTCTAGCCCCACTTGCTTATATTTTTTCAGATTGTTTCTTCTAGAAAAAAAAATAATATTATTAGGACCCCCAACAACATTTCAATGATGAGGAAGGAAGGCTTGACTAAGTGTCCTGAAACTAATTTTAGGACAGTGTGACTTATCTTCACAATCTCCATGCTTTCCCAAAAATGAATTGGGAGAAGGAGGAGGGCCATTCAGGGAGTCTAGGGCATTCCACTAACCTCAAGAACCCATGTGCTGCAGGGGTCATGGGGCTACATGTTGTCTCACATATTCCTTGAACTCTGAAGGAGCAGACACATTGCAATAGCTTTAAGAAAGGGCTTTTCTTCCATATTTTATTTTTTGATATTGCATTTTTCTATCTCTACAGAGTCCTGAATCTTTTCCCATGTTATTTTTAGTCAGTCTCTCAGAGGGAGAAAAAAAAGTCAATCCAGGCTTCTAGCATGTCAGCTTTTCATAAAGGAAATACAAAGCAGAGTGCCCAGCAAGCCTCCTAAAACACAGAATTTATGTGAGATCTTTTATCTACATCCATTTAAAAATGTCCCCTACTAGGCAATGAAGAGAAGATGGGAATCACCATTTGAAAAGGGCTTACTTTAAGGACTGGATACAGTGGCTCAAATGTTGCTTCAGCTCTTCCTCCTTTTCATAGGACTCCAGCAYACTATGCGCTTCATCATGGTGATAGCAGTAGATTTTATATATATCTTCCAGCGGCTCCTTAATCTGCAAGAATACCTCTCCTGATAAACACAAAGCAAAAACAAAATGACATCAAGTCAGACCAAAATGGCACTTCATAGTCTATTATTCAAAAGTGTTGACTAGTGTAAAAAAGTTGATGGGTCCCACTCCATCACTTAAAGATGAGTGGGGTCTTAGACATTGAGTGATATTTTTCTCTCCCTTCCTCCTTTCCTTCCCTCCTTCTTCCTTTTTTAACTTCCTTCCTCTTATAAAGAGAAGGATGAAGAATTTTACAGAGATAGATAGCAAAAGAAATCTCGTTTTCTAAAAGGTGACTACACATCAGGTAGGCATGTAGCATCATGGTTAATAGCATGGAGTTAAGAACAGATCAATTTAGAGTTATTCTGTATAAGTTTGAATCAGGTTGTGCTACAGAGTTTGTGACTCTCTGAATATGTAAACTCTCTTAATGAGTTTCTTCATATATAAAATGGTAGCCAYAATAGATTCAATTTTATAGTTGTTATAAATATTGAGGGATGCAGTGCATTTAAAGTTCAGAGTATAGTTCGTATAGGATAAATGCTTAWAATGGAGTAGTTTTGTACATTTACTAGAGGTATAAGAGGTGAAATTTCAGCTAGTAGGTAARTGATTTTTCAAAATGTATTACACTAACATTTCCTGAGTTTCTCTGAAAGGMAAGCAAGAGAAATAAAACATTTCCTTATATGTGATAATAAAAGTAGGTTATTATTCCTTTTAAAAATCAATTGAATTATACTATGAGCCAAGGTTATAATGTATCTTCATGAAGCAACTTGGGCTAATTGTGTCCAGACATTTAATGAATTCTCTTTTATATTACCATAAAATTGGCTCTATAAATGGTACTTCAAGTAGATATTGGACAATAGTTTGATTTAATTACCCACTCCATCACTTTAAGATGAGTGGTATGCATCCACTACCCAACCAGCACTGTGTGAGATGATTTGGGAAATACAAAAGAAATATGCAACAGGATCTGCTCTCCAAAACATTGCATATTTGAGATTGWTGATGATTTGGAGGCTGAGTTGATTGACAGTGATGTGGACCTATTTATCTGGGCCTATTACAGTAACAGAAAAAAGTCATTCTTCCTAGAGAAATAGAAGTTTCTTTAGTATCTAAAAATGTTTTGCACACATTAACTGCTTCATTCCCTATATGCACAAAGAAGAAGTTATTTATTCATATTAATTAAGGATGAACAAATCTGAGTTAGTAACAAATGCATTATTTTACAAAGGTCCTGTTAGTCAGGATTATMGGTCATTGTTTTAATTTTTCCTTGGGTCTTAGCTTCTCATCTGTCAGAACTTTGCTAGACATTGTATGATGATGCAGTTGGAAACAGTGACATATTTAGATTCAGAATTCAGGGTGCCTGTGGTGACTTTGGGGATAACTTTTTAAAAATGTTTAAACCTCTGTTCCTTTATAATGTTTGTAGGATGGAAATAAAAGTATTTATAGCACTKTTGATATTAATTTGAGAAATAAATGGGATGATGCATGTGAAATATGGCTGCCAYGGACTAGTTACTCAATAATTGTCACTTGTCTCTTAAGGCTGCTTACTATCTCTAGAATTAAAACACTAGTACCTTAAAGTATCACTTTCCTTTCTAATTTGTATCTATCTAATAGAAGTTTTTTTTT